TCCATTTACTATCAGTGTGGACTGATTTACTCCAGTGTGACTTTATTTACTCCATCATTGTGACAGCATTAACTGCCTTCACTCAAGTTCCTTCTGGGTTTGTTAGGCAGCACTGACTCTGCCAAGAGTGTTTTCCCCCAATATTTGAGAGAGCTCTGTCAGATGGCACTGAGAAGAACTGAGGGGTGTGAAGGCAGACCTAGCAACACACAGACCAGAAAACACCACAGATAAAAATCATAGTAACAATCTGCACAGCCAAGCACTCCAAAATGCAAATCTAAGTACTTCAGGAAAATTTAATTTGTTATGGCTGGTCTGATTGTTATTGCCAAATCATTTGGCAATCCTAAAAAGGGAAGGAAAAAAAGAAAAGAGATGGCAAAAAAAAAAAAAAAAGACAACTGTTCCTGAAGACAGAGTAATGACATTAAAAGACAGATGCCCCAATCCCTTTTTATTTTTCTACAATGAAGAGGTATGTATATATATCATGTATGTAATAAACTGTATTTACATGATGACAGACTACTGCTGCCACAGAACTCACTTAGATTAACTTAAAAAAGAATCCACCACAGTCCTCAACACCCCTTTTCCTACAACAGCATAACCTCCAGGATGGGTACAGTGCTAAATAAAAGCAATCCAAATTAATCTCTCCTGCACCTTCAGTGTCTGTTCTCCTCCCACCTTGTCCATTCCATTAGTTTGTACCTCACATCTAAATTTAGGGCTGACAGAGCTCGGGTGGTTTCCACCAGCTGATCTAAGACTGAACCCTTTGCATAAAGTTTATGGGACATCTGTGATGGACCCACATCCAGTAGGAACCTCTGCAGCCTTGGGACCACTTGGAGCAGCCAACAAACAAAGAACAGTTCCCAGGTTTATTTCCTCCTTTAACAAGCATTCCCTCCCCTATAGTGCCCTAGTAGGAGACAACCTCTACTAGTTCTGAAAGTTAATTGGGTAAAACCATAAAGTACCACCTCATATTTGAGAGTGCAATTTGTTTCCCAGTTATTTGTCAGACAGAGATGACAACTGTACCTTCTGGAATGGTTATTGTGCCTCTCTGGCCCAGCCTGGTGATCAAATTTAGAAAATTAAACAACAAACACGATGCCAGTATGAACCTCATGTACCAGTAACAAGTACATTAAAATGTCTTTTTCAAACCACAAACAAAATGTTATCTAAACTGTACTTTCATTTGCCAGCCACAGCTAATTCTTCTTAAATTAGCATTCACTAGGATGGCCTTGGGAATGGGGAGGGTGGAGCACTGAGCATGATGTAGTTAATTATTGCAAAATTTGTATTTGAAACTCCAAATCTGCTGACAGAGGAAAATCACTAAAGTGACAGTAACTGGATAGCAGTAATGTATAAAACAAGACAATGTCATTTTGATTTGATCTGGACAAAGATGAAAAACCTGCATCTGCCTCTCCAATGACACAGAACACATTTTTCCTGTTGGCATTCTATTCTACATACATTCTCAAAATATGTTTTTCAGATACCAAGCACCATCATCAATCTACTCTTTGCAAAAAAATCTCCACTGGAGACAGATGAAATGACAGAAAATATCTGAGGATATCACAAGTTAAGACAACAGACAGAACAATGCTGGCATCTAAGGAGTTCAAGGTTAATTCCCTTTCAGGAATTAAAGAGCAAATGGTACCAGAGTCCAAGCAGGAACTGGGAACATGACCAATGCTCTGTTCCTCCTCGACAGTGATCTAAAAATAACCTCTTTGGATGCCTGATGAGAAAAACACCAGCATGTAAAACCACAGATACATATTTCACCACTCTTTTAGCCAAAAACAAGGAAAGTAAGACTGAAGAGAAGATCTGAAACAAATCAATGCAGACACATTCACTGTAGCACTTCAGTGTTTCCTTTTTTTCCTTTTCACAGCTCTGTCTGAGAGAGCAAAACCATTAGAGAGGAGCTGAACCTTAAGAGTGGCACTGGCAGATTACAGGTTGTGAGTTTCAGCACTCTGGTGTTACTGCAGCACTTCTCCTTGAACAGCATGGACAAAAGAAAGGACATCTTCTCACATCAGCTCCTCTGCCCAAACAATGAGGGCTACAAGCCCTTTCAGTCTGAAGTCATTTGTGTGAACTCTACTGAGTTCACTCTGAAAGACAGCTAAGAGATGCCTTCCCTTCACAAGCATTCCTGTTCTTCCTTTAGGGGCAGAATCCCAGACTCCCAAAATCAATGGCAATGACTGCAATTATATCCAAGGTGTCTGTTTGAAAAGAACTTCCCTTCAGTGCTCTGACACTGTGTGTTTCCTCCTCTAAGTGAATGTGTTGATAAAAGAAAAAACAAACAAACAAATAAACCCAACACACTCCTCTATTCTGAAGTCTCTCTTCTCAAAGTACAACTGCAATGCAAAGCACAAAAATTTAAGCCATGAACAAATTTCAAAATAAAAGAACCCCAACATTCTCTGCCTGTATTTACTTAGAGGACTCAAATAATTTAATATTTTAAACAAACAAACAAAACCCCACAAAAACATTATTTTACTTTTCCCACCTGGAGACAGCATTATCTGTACTTAAATGAAAATAAATTTACATAATGAATCTCACTGTAGGAAGCTGAGTAAAAGGATTTATGAATGTGAACAAGGGGTGACACACTGACAGGAACACCATTACTTCACCATTTTCAATCCCACACTGAACTTCAGTTCATAGTAAGACCAAAACTGGTAAAACAATCCTAAAATATCCTAAAATTGTGTTATCATCAAACCCAAAGATGGTGAAGACAAAAGACAAGAACTGAATGAGATCACAAGCACAACACTGTGGGCATTTTGTGCCACTATTATTTCATCACTGTATCCAGGTATCAAGTTATTTTGAATAAAGTCCGTAAGATGAAGTGTCTGCTCTGATTTTTACCTGTGGAATACTAAAATTTACATTTCAAAACCAAGACTGAGAATGACAATCATTTTCCAGAAAATGCAATCTTCCCCTTCTAAGTAAACACTTTCTCTAGAGAAGAATGAGAGAAAGATGAGCAAGATTAAAGTGAAGCCATTGATAGATGCACTTGATAGATGATTTAACTTCTTCCTGGAAATGATTTCCCCTTACAAAATGTTCAAGTCAGCTCAGGATTTTTAATTCTTTGCTATGTAAGATGAATATATTTTGTAAGGATGAAAAATAAATGCAATATCCTGACAGCTACAAGGAAGCAAATCCCAGCAAGCTGTGTGCAAGCCTGGAGAACTCTGTACCATTCTGAGTGACAGGAAGCCAAATGCTCAGCTGAAATTGGTGAGAGGGAACATCTCCCTCCTGCTCCCAGCTGTGTGCTGCCTCAATCTTTCTACAGCAGTAGAAAACTAGCCCAGCAAACCCAGAATGGATGGTTTTGTATTGCACTGGGTTATCAAGCATTTTGTGGCAGGATCTGACAGTCATCAGGGCTGGCAGATAAAAGAAAGGCAGAGGAAGGCCTGGAAAGGAGAAAGGGCAATGGTGAAGTGAGCACCCGTGGGTGGCACAGGATGATTGCCAATCTAAAGCTGGCTTTGCCACAATTGATCATCTGGCACTGGTCATACCCATTAACCATGGCTTATTTATCCACTTGAAAAATGAGCACAGTCTGCACATCCCTCACAAAGATGTGGTGAGAGCTGAAGTTTGGAACTGCCACTAAACACGAAGAAGGTAATTTATTACTACTGCACTTTCATATGCATAACTGCCCCCCAAAAACAGCAAACCCAAATCCAAAGCTGTGATTTTGTGACAGTCAAGGTTTGACATGTTTGGCTGGGACATAAGGGACAGTTTCTCAAGAAGTATAAAGGGAAAAGCAAATGGGAAAAATCATATTCTATCATGACCAAGTTCCAAGTTTAATCAAAAGGAAATCACCTGAGTATTTATAAAGGAGAAACAGTGCCTAACTCTTACTGCTAAACAAGCCAGTGTTGGGAGCTGAACACCTCTCCCTTCTGTGCCTCTCACATCCCTGTGAAAAAAGGATTGTTTCAGCAAGCTCATCCATTGCTCCTCAGAGAACTGGTTGGAAGCTGCATTGCTCACAGGCTAAAGCTGCAGTTGATCCAACTCCTTATTTTCAAGGAAAAGTGCTTCTTTCAAGAGGTGCAAAATGCAGCATTTATTATTTGCATTATGCCAGCTTTCATCTGCAACTGCACATAGCAATAATACCTCACTGCAGTGGGGGCAGAGGATAAAACTCCCTTGAGTATCTTACCATGCTCAAACCTTACAGATGTTTAAACACAATCCTACTAAGAGTAAATTTGGGTGAGCAACAATAAATTCACCTCTCAACTTCATAGCCTGTCCCATCTGTCAGTGATGGTTTCTACAGATTGTGCATGATGAATCTTCAGAGCATTTTAAACAGGTAATAAAAATAGGGGGCTAAAAGAAGGGGAGTATCAGTACCATTGACACTACACAACTTTTAGTAAGAGTGAAGTCTTCCAAGTGACTCTGGCATGCTCAGAATCTCAGAATCTCAGAATCTCAGGCATCCAAGTGATGCCTAGGGTGTAGCAGCATCAACTGCTTGTGAAATTACCAGAGCACTGACACTCCAATATCCTGTAGAGTTTTGAGACCCATCCTACCCTTGCATTCCACAGTTTCTAAAGCACATGAAGAAATTGATTAAATAGATGCCTGTGCATTAGCAAACCCCACTGACTCTGACTGGATAAACAGTTCTACTGCTGACTGCGGACATGAAATAGATCTCTGTAAATAAACAAATTATTTTAAAATTCTGCTTTTTCATGTACAGGTAAGATGAACATTTCTGCTAATCTTGTCCCAACAAGTATTGCACATTTTATACATTTTGCCTATACTAAGATGCCCAACTTTTGTTTAATCAAGTTATGATATCTAATTTAAATAAATAATTACTACTGCCCTACTATCCCAACAACATATATACATACCTGATAAGTAACACTCTTCTTTCCATCACCGTCTGTTTGAGGCAAGGTAAGAGGTCCAGAAACAACCCAAACATCTTCAAATCTCTCCGTCAATTCCCGACAGTACATTTCCATTCTGGAACACATTTGTCAGACAGGGAAAAGTCAGCTGGGAAGATTTAATCTTTGAGACACACTATGAAGGGAAGGGTGAAACACTGACAGGGAGCATTTTTCCAGATTCATCTGAGTGATTCACAAGCCAAAGTAGGTAAAATGTAGGCCCAAGTCCTGCTTCCCATTTGTCCTCTGTAAATAAAGTTCATTTATTCACAGATAGACATGTGTTACTGCACACATCTGAAAATGGTTTCTGCAGCCTTAGCACATGTCTGAATAGCTGAGTTCTCTACTTACTCCCACACTTGACACTAGAAATACACTGTTGGTCGTCACTTGGGATTAGAGAAATAGAATTGTTCCAAGCAGCAAGCTGAAGCATTTTTACTTGGAAAGGTTTTATCATATTATTGGATTTGTGTGTTTATCCCCAAGGAATCAAAGTCCTGCAACACAGTTCTTTCTGAAGTTTCTGTTTGCCATTTCCCCTAACTCTACTGGTTTTCTTTATAGATATAAAACTGTTCCAAAAGAAAGTAGTAACTCCAGAAACACGACCATATTTTTGCTTTTTGAACTGATTCAGTTTACAGCATATAATATTTCTCAAATAAGGGGATTCCTGGATCACATCTGTTTTACAGGAAACAAAATATTAACAAGGCCAGGGTGGATGGGGCTTTGAGAATCTCATCTAGGGGAAGGTGTCTCTGTCCATGGCAATGGGGCTGGAAATAGGTGAAATTTAAGATTCCTTCCAATCCAAATAATTCTATAATTCTATGAATACAGCACATTTTTTATTTAACAGCCCAACTGTTACAGAAATAATATACAGTGAGCAAGCATTGGTCCTCTACAAAGGTAAGAGCTGCATTTCACACAAATGGACAGACAGAATACAAAACATTATCCCAGTTAATCTGGCTGCCTCTGACAGGGGGAGGTTTCACCTCCTTCTCTAATTCCTGTTCCTCACACCTCTCCCTTGGGCCTCTTGAACATTCCTTATCTGTCAACTCTGAACAAAACCAGTAGTTTGTTTATTTTTCTTTTGTGCTGGGTTAGTGAATTAAATCAGCAAGAACAAGCCACACAGATGAGAATGAGCAAGAATGAGCCTTTTCTTCATGCGCTACACTGAAGCACTGACTACAAATGAATTCTTTTCCTACTGTCACCAGGTTTGCTTCCAAGCAGCCCAGCTCCTCAGGCTGTCTCATGGCAGGGAAATACAAACTCCACCTGGAAAGAATAGGAATAAATGCAGCTAGGGAGCAAACTGCTTTTGGTGGTAAGAGGGACAGAGGTCAGATTACAGTGACCATGAAATCAAAACCATGACACTCAAAACAAGACAGGAACAGTTAAATATCAGTTGGAAGAGAATGAGGAATATTAAGGTGGAGATGGAGCACACCACAGAGCCAGTCCAGCAGTTTACTATTAACAGCTTGCTGGATTATAATCCTGCTCTTCCCTTTCCTACTGTTCCCCTTGTCCTACTTCCCCTTGTCTGTCCCAGCTGACCACTCCTAATCCATCTCCCATGCTGGTTCTAGAACTCATCTCATGAGCTGATCCAATTTTGCAATATGACAGAAACATAACCAAGCAAAACAAAATGAGAATCAGTTTTTAACTGGGCTGGCAAATGAAGCTGACTCACCACAGTCAGGCTACTACCAAAGCTGGAACTGGGAATCCAGAAAAAACACAAGGCAGGAGGGCAAACACCACTTTAGAAAACAACAGACACTTCTGACTAAGCTGCATTGTCTGCCTGCACCTCAGAAGAAAAGTCAAGAAGCAAGCAACTAATACAAAAGAAAGTAAGAGAATATTGAAGCTAGGAAACAATGTAACATATGAAATATGGTATCCTTAAAAATATTTATTATTTAAGAAATTACTTACCAAAAAAGAAGTGTCATTGTTGCCTTTTTCATCAATTTAAACTATGGGAACAGGGTGCTGGGGTTGGGGGAAAAGTGGCAATAATTGCTTAAATTGCAGGGTTGATAGTGCCAGAGGAAATTTTCAAACACTCCCCATGATTTCCTGATTAGGCAGAGACCCTGCTTAAGGGAAACAAAGAGGGTTTCCCTACCTTGAATTGATACAAATGCCTAGCTTTGGTATAAGGAAAATTTATGCTCAAATACTTGAGTTATTAAAATAAGAAAAAAACCCTCTAAAAATGTTATGGTCTTTTATTTGTCTATAAAACAGTATAACCTTACTGAATGGCTCATCTGATTTTACACACATTCTTGTAAAACAGGAAAGCAGTGTGCAGATGAATGATGATGCAGTTTTGATGGACTTTTATTATAACACTGTATATAATTTTGCTGACCTTCCCTTGAGTGAACCTTGAGAAATTTATCATTTTCCCCTCCTATTTCTGAGCCTTCACATCTCTAAGTCCTGTGCAAGAAGCACAGGATGAAGGCGACTTTTACTATCTTTGCTCAAAGGGAGGGAAGAATAAAACTCTTACGTGAAGCAAGTTTAAATTTATCAACCACTGCACCTCAAAGTCAATCCAGTCAGGACTCACAAGTGACAGAGCTCCTGCCTGAGTGCTCCTTGGGAGCCAGGGACACCTCAGACCTGAGGAGTGATGGCTCAGTGGGGAGCACTCAGTTCTGCAACTCAAAGGGAACCAACAGCCACACACAGACATGGGAATACTCTCACACTGCTGCTTTGAGGAAGATCTAAGCCCTCTCCTTGCTTCTGCTGGAACTTCCTTAAGGACAGTTAAGCCTGGGACTTTTTATCAGCCAGAAGAAATAATTTTGTCTATTTTAAATAAATGTCCTCAACAGTCTGACTGAATAAAGAACTAATATAGTTGTTATACTGTTCTTTGACTGAGAGGATTGAGCTACCTCTCATTTCAGAGAAATCTACTATGCCCTACAGATAAACTGCTCTAAAATACCTGGATGTGAAGAACCTTTAAAAATAAAGCATTTTTGATTTATGCTGTTGCCTGGTATTTTTCACTTAGTTTACTTACAAGTAATTCCTCACCTGTTCCAAAATCCAGCATTATTTTCATAATTCTGAGGCACAATGTTAGACAGATAAAACGTTTCAGCCATAGCTCTCTGCACAGAGAAAGAAAATAATGTAATGTCACTGAAACAATCATGAGCTGAAGACACATTTTAGCAGTTTGTGGATCAGAATCCCATTTCTAGTTTAGTTTTGACATCTATTAACATAGAAAAACCTAAGTCAGAACACCTACAAAATTATTTAGGATTAAGAAGTGCACAATTGAGGTGAAACCTTGCAAAGTTATCTATTTTTTTTCCTGGCAGAAACAGCATGAGAATGTCCAACTCTAGAGGCACAGGAATTACTATCACCCAGTGTCAGTTTGGTAATGTCTTTGAAAGCAACTAGACATTTTTCATTTTGAAAGGGAAGGACACTTTCAAGCATGCTTTTCATTTATTTGACTGTTTAATGGCTAACTTTTTCTTTCTTCTACAAGAAAAAGTTTTATTAGATATACTCAACAATATTTTACACATATATAATGTACAGGCAATAAAATGATTTATGAGACCATAATGGTCAAACATCCATATATCTGCTTAATTTCATCTTGTAGAAGTGTCATAAACATCTCTGAACAGAAGCTCACATACCTCCAGAGGTGAAGGACCTGGTGATAAATCACAAGACATACACAGGGAAATACAGAGAGAAAAAATTCCAAGATCTTAATCCAGAATTTTCACAGGTCCTGCATTTTTCAATATTTTTCACACACAACTATTGCAAAGTGATGGGACTGATAGGACTCTTTAGGATAATGAGCAAAGTACCTCCATTAATTAGACTGTGAAATTCAATTTTTGCAATCCTATATTTGCAAGACTCTATCACCTCACTGCATTTCAAACCAGGTCCAGGATCTCTGTGCACCAGCAAAAATACCCCAGAAATCACAAATAAATAACAACAAAGACATTTCCAATAGAAATAAAACTACTGATTCTTTCATTTACCACATGCCACTGTGCTGTCACTCCACCCCACTGAATGCTATCTGTCTGGAGAAATACAAATTCAAACTGCTTCTTAATTAACAAATTGCTGCATTAGGCACATTTCACAAGAGGATCCAATAAATTCAAAGCTGCTTTGTGAGTCAGCCAAGGCATTAAGGCATGCTTCTCTTACAGCCTGAATAAATGGCAGGTGAAGACATTTTACAGACTGAAAGAACTATGGCAAAAGGGTCTAATTTACCTCATACACATTGCAAGGAAGGAAAAAGCCTTTTAAATCATCCAGGCAATCCCCTTGCCAATACAGAACGGTGCTTAACAGCCTCTTTGCTTTGCTCAATCTAGCCTTAAATATCTCAGCAGCTGCTGGCCACAATGACATCATTGTCCCTGTCTCCCTTTAACTGAGCTTTGAAACCTTGCAGGGTTTTCTTGGTGAAGGTTATCATCTTCATTTTACAGGTAGACAATGTGACATGCAAGAGGCTGAGAAAATTTGCTTAACACCACACTGTTCAAGACATCACCTCTGCCAAACAAGCTGATGTAGGTGTGATTTAATGAAGAGAGCTATGGCACCAGAGCATGCACCTGATTTAGATGCCTGAAGCAGACTGTGAGAGCATCCCACACTGCTCAGCCAGGAACAGAGCTTGGAACTCCAAATCCAGCCCTGTGCATCAATAATGACATCATGCTCCACCTCAAAACAAAACTGCAAAAGGAACATTGCACATTACTTCTAAAGGGTCTTTTGACCCTTTCCAGCTGAGAAACACAAATTAAAAAGATGGGAGAAAAAGTCCTACTGTTGAAAATTTGTTATCTCCTGCTGGTGCCATGTGTCCTCGTGACCATCCACTGCCAAGGTAGTCCTCATTGACAGCACTGAACATCAGAGGGATGTTTGGGTCTGGTCTGAATTTGCAGTGCCTTCGGTCTGCATCACCTGAATAAAAACACATTAAATGGTCAGATTATCATGACATCATCAAAATCACAAGACAAAAAGTTCAAATTCTGTGATATCTTGCCAGATGATCCATGTTTAAGGATTTACATCCTTTGTAAATCCTTTACATGCTTAAGGATTCAGTACATTAATCTGAATTCTCATCTTACAGGTAATGTTAATCTCTTTCTGCCATGTGTTTTAAATATCTAAGTCCTTACTTACCAATAAAATAGATGGGGTTTTGCATCATGACTTTTCAGTCTTCCCCCAAACAGCTCAAACAAAACAGCTCTGCCTCAAATCTCAATTTGAGTAGCTACAGACATAAATCAGAACTGAATGCCTCAAGATGCTCAATTTCAACTTGAAGTTAGTTGTATCTGATTATTTGGAAAACATTTGAACAATTCAGCTGTTAAGGCCCACTTGAAAGTAAGCCTGAAATTACTGTTTTCTTCTCAGAAAGAAGTGGGATCAATGATGCTACTTAAGGGTTGGTCATAATGTTTTCAAGATCTTGCTTTTAATTTTCAAAGTAATTTGAAGACAGTGATTTAGGTACATTTAGAGAGCTATTGCTTTCATAAAGCATTTTACAATTACATGGTTACCTCCATTAGTAATAATCTGCCTTATAAAAACTGAACTAATGCTATAAACTTAATTTACAATGACTGTATACCACTCATATTTCATTCACCACTGACAGCAGAAAATCACTGAGCCTCTGTCTTGCATAAAGAACAGGGAGAGAGCATGAGAACTGTATCAGAGTAAATAATGGCTGCAGTGAGGAGCTAATGCCCAATCTAGCTCTGAACAATTGATGCCCTTTGCTCAGTTTTTATCTCACAAATGGACATTCTCCTGCCATTCTGAGCAAATCTCTAAGATCTGTACATGAAAAGCTCTGCCTACACTGAAATAAACTGGACCTCAGAACTAACTGCACTGCTAAGGAAGCAAAAGCCATTTTTATGCACTCTGCAGATCCAAATCAAGTAAGGAAAGGTTAATTTTCATTGCTTCATCTTCTCTCCATTCTCTTCCCTCCCTGAGATCACTATAGTACTTTTCTCCCTGACTGCTCCAGGGTCAACCTTCTGTGAGCAGCAAAGCCAATTCAGAGCATCACAAATTTAAGGAGATAAATGTTGCATACAGGTAGAGATATTATTAAAGAAAGCCCTTATAAAATATGGTTTAGGCCCTGCTACTCTAGCTAAGCTAGCAGTTAGCTTGTAACTTTCCATGTGAAAAAATCATAAGAATGAAAGTCAGTTAGCACAACAATCTATTCTGGTAACAGAACCCTTCACACCTGCAAAAACATAAAGTCTGTCCCATGGGAATCAGTGAACAAAATATGTAAACTATACAGGAATAGACAAATTTGATGGACATGTAAAATGCCATTTACTAACCAATGAACTGAGCGGCAAGAAAATTATGAACCAATTAAGAGTTATACACCAGGTCTTGAAAACTGTATAAAAATGAGCAGTAACATTAAAAAGTGGCTCTTCTGCATGAAGAAACTGAGTCCTGTCTGCTTATTACTGCAACAAATAAACACCTACATACCCAGCATCTTTTGTTTGGAAATGTGTTCAATCACCCATCTAGGCACCCGTTTTGCCTGGTCATAAGACAGTGCATGATTTGTGTAACATCTGGTCTCTGTTCCAGCCTCAGGAAATCCATATCTTTCCAGCAGAGCCTCTTCTACTGGTTCTAAGGAAAAAATAAACAGAAAACCATCCAAAGATGAAATGTGATCATAAAGAAGACAGTAAAAAAACCACATCTCAGTGGGTGTAAACTTGCTGTATAGGGAATTACTTGAGTTTAGAGCCATAATTAAGTCCTAAAATATATTAAGAGAGCTATCCAGTGAAACTCTCATCTGTCAAAATAGTTGTGGTTCTCATCATGTTTTAACACGAGAATCTCAGCTCTAGGACTAAGTCATCTATCTACTCTAATGCCTACAGAAGGCAGTAGAAAAGCTATGAGATATTTTCTTTCTACAGAAGGAAAGCTCTCAGATGTGCAGGGACAAATCAGGCAACAGGGAGTTACAGACACAGGAGATCAACACATACATTTCACCCTTTGGAGCTGAAAATCAAGTTCCTCACAAACTGAGATTTACAAGCTGGGCACAAGCAAGTCCTGCCCTCTCTGGGAACGCTTATACTCTGCTGAATAAATGAAAGTTTCACTGAATTTTCATTATTTTTTCAAGCAACAATTTTTTCTCAAGGAGGAATATTTACATCTATCTTACTGTCTTGTTCATTCTCCAGCCATCTGTCCAACAGCAACTCATGTTTTTAGAGCCATTCTTCCTCTGCTTTCCCACAATCCGGTACTTTTAAAGCCTTGAAGCTGCAGAGAAAACCATTCACTCCCTCAGATGCCCCAACCATCCCTCCCCACACCTGAACCCCACCAGACCCCAGACTTGATAAACAAGCCTCAGCTCAGGGCAGGAACAGCTGAAATTTAGTTATGATCTGACACAAAAGTGTGTTTAAAACTAAATATACAATCTTCTCCTGCCACCAGCACTGCCGTGAGCAGGTGTAAAGGGAAGCGCTGTTAATTACAAGCTGCAGCCCAGCATCCCCAGACAACCTCCTCCCACTCAGCCCGACGCAGGCACCAGGGGACCCCGCGATCTCCCGGCACTATTTGGGCATTCCGGGAATGGGGGAAAGAAGGAAAATGCGATTCTGAGGGGAAGGAGAGAGTTTAGGGAAAGTAGCGGCGGTGGGGAGCGCGGCTGCGGGACCCGGGACCGCGCTGAACCGGCCGCTCCCGCCTCGCGTCCCCACTGCCCGCGGCTCTTACCCTGCGCTGGGGCCCGCCCGGGGCCCGGCTCCGGCTGGCTCTGGCTGCGGAGGAGCCGCCATGTAGCCCAGCAGGACGCGGCGGCCCCGGCCGCGGCCCCGCAGACGAAGCCACCGAGGAAGCGGCGGTGGCGGGGCAAGGCCGCCATGGCGGCGGCGGGAAGGGAGGGGAGGGGAGGGAAGGGAAGGGGCGGGCGCGGCCCCGCAGCGCCCCCTCACGGCACAGCCCTGAGGGCGGCATGGCGGCGTTCCGTCGGTCAGGGGGCACCGCGTGAGGGGATGAGGCTGGCGGGGCTTCCCCGATTGCTGTGGAAAAATAAAGTGAGTTCCCTCATGGGGACTGCAGGGACTGTAGTGGCTAAACTGCAGCCGTCGAGCTTGGCTAGGGTTGACCAGCCCGAGCTCCAAGCGCAGAGGTTCACTGACTCATAGGATCATAGAATGGTTTGGGTCAGAAAGGAGCTTTAAAGTCTTTAGCTGGAGAAGAAAAGATCAGCTCCTTTATGAGGAGAGACTACGGGAGCTGGGTGTGTTCCGTCTAGAGAAGACCGAGAGAAGATCTCAATAATACATTTAAGTACTCAAACGTGGGTGCCAAGAGGACAGTGTAGACTCTTTCCTGTGGTGCCCAGCGACTGGATGAGGAGCAATGGCCACAAAGTAAAAGTTTCACCTCAAAGTGAGGAAGAACTTCTTTACACCAAGGGTGGCAGAGCACTGGAACAGGGAGGTCACAGTTTTCCCTCTCTGGAGACATTCCAAACCCACCTGGACACATTCCTGTGTCACCTGCTCCAGGTGATGCTGCCTTGGCAGGAGGGTTGGACTGGGTGATCTCCAGAGAATCCTTCCACCCCAAACAATTCAGTGATTCTGTGATAGTCCAACCCCTCAGCAATGATCAGGGACATTTTCAACCAGACCAGGTTGCTCAGAGCCCCGTCCAAGCTGACCTTGAATGTTTCCAGGGATGGGGCATCCACCACCTCTCTGGGCAACCTGTGCCAGTGCCTCACCACCCTCATTGTAAAATATTTCTTCCTTATATCTAATGTACATCAACCTTCTTTTGGTTTTAAACAATTCCTCCTTGTCCTATCTCAACAGGCCTTGTTAAAAAGTTTGTCTTCATATTTCTTACAAGTCCCCTTTAGGGACTGGAAGGTCACCAGAAGATCTTCTCAGGTCAGTATCTTCTCCAGGCTGAAGACTGTGGTATGGGGTTGGTATTAGTCAATATAGGGCAATGTTATACTGGGCTTCTTTTGAGGAAAACCACCAGCCTGATTATTACTATTTTTCCCTCCTAAATGCCTGATAATGTTCATATTTGCCTCATATCTGTTCAAACTAAGCACTTTCAACCCAGCACCAAGCCAGAGGCAATTTTCTGAAAAATAGGATCAGTTTAGCAACGGAAAACACCAGAATATAAGGATTTCATGGCCACACCATCACTTTACTGCAGGCAGCTTTCCTGGAGAGGTCTCAGTGTGTGGCTTATGGCATCTTCATACCTCATGTGAGGATTACAGACCTCAGTGTGGTGCTATGAGTACAGGGAACTCAGGCTTTTTTTTTAATTTTAATCTTTTTTCTGGTCAAGTTCCCCTGCCTTTGGCTTCTGGCAGTTGCAGCTACATTGCTGGACTGCCTTGATACAGCTTCACATACACATGTTAACCTATGTGAACAGTTCTTTGGTAGGAGTGATAAGCAGTGTCACCACAGTGCTACAAGAGGCAACACACTCAAAAGGGAAATTAAATAATAATAATAATAATAATAGTAGTAGTAGTAGTAGTAGTAGTAGTAGTAGTAGTAGTAGTAGGACAGAGATGTTGTGGATGTCTCATCTCTGGAGGTGTTCAAGGCCAGGTTGGATGGGGCTTGGAGCAACTGGTCTAGTGGAAGGTGTCCCTTAGCAGGGCAGTTGGAACTGGATGATCTTTAAAGTCTCTTCCAACCCAAACCATTCTATGGTTCTGTGAATTTGAGATAACTCCCACTTCTCTTTGGAACTGTTTGCAAGTGGTGGGTAGTAGGGGCAGGCCTCAGCTATGCCTCTGCAGGGACTTTTTAGGGATTTTGGATAGCAGAAATGCCACTGAAATACTAAAAACGCTCATCTATGAAGAAGGAAAACCTCCAGCTAGATGCCAAAGACAAATAACAATGATTTTTAATGTCACACCAACGAGGGAAACAGTTATTTGTAATTTACTGTTTATTTTCATATACAAAAAGATAAACTTGAAATAGTTCTTTCTAGGTTTTTTTTTCTCCTATCTGTTGGGGTGTAGCTGCTTCACACAGGGCAAATACTACATTCATACTGGTTTATTCAGACACCCAGTGCAAAGCTGAAGCAGCAAAACTCCAACTTGGCAGATCTAATTTCAAACTTGAGACTCTTTCTAAAATACCACAGTAAAAAGGAACAAAGATCCACTGCAAATTCATGAACTATGATACAATGTTCTTTCCAAAATGTCTTCATTTCATAACTGCAATACAATGGATGTCTGCATTAGGCCATTTTATACATACATTTTATATATGTATACTTCTGCAGAATATATATATATAAAATGTACATATATGAAAATCAGCACACTTCAATCCAAAAGGGGTTACAGCAACGAGCTTAACTCTCTATACTTTTTTCTTTAACAGGATACTTTAGTATAACTTTTTGTTAACTCAGTAGTACAAGCTATCTCTGTTCTACATTTTTATAGCTACAAGAGTGAAATATAACCTACAACATTTACATTTCACATATCTTGGTATACAAACAGTACTTAGTGAATTTGAGCCAAGGACCAAAAGACTCTTTAAAAATTATTTCACCATCTGATAGAGCTTCCTGTAATTTACACTCAGTCTATTCTGCAATCTTCTAAATCATTTAATCTCATAGTTTGAGTTTAAATCCATTCCAACTGGAAATCCTGGAGAAACAGGTTACTGCAAACTCTTATGTATACTCTATATATACAAGTTAAGTAACACAGCGTAATAAGACTTAGCTATTTTTCCTAAAACTGATATACACATATTCCACTACGCTAGACAAGTCTTAGGATTTTATTTTATTTCCTTAAATAAAGCACAAATTTAGAAGTAGCTGGTAAAACTTACAATAGGATGGTTATAAAATGACAAATGGTTAGGGTGAGATTTCTTCCTGCTGGTGCCAAAACATTTTCTTGTGAGTTTTTGTACTATGCTGTGTTGTTTAACTGTATGCATCTAATGTTACATGCAGAAAGCTCTTTCCACAAGAATTGACATCAAACTGTACTCAAGTCAACTTTACAGTACAAAATTTGCCAAACTTAAGGACGAATGTGAAAATATTAACAGGTGAAAGGTCAGGCTTTCAACTCTACCATGAGGATCATGCAGAATTCATAAGCAGATAGTTTGAACAGATTGACAATGGCATTGTGCAGGCTTATGGCATAGAATTGAGGCCAAAAATGTTACTTAGTTTGCAGTAACCACCTCCTTCAATCCTCACCCACTACGAGATTGATTTTTGCATCATAGTTATTCCATTGGAAGGCCAGCAGCATTGCAAAATACCTCCTCCTCCTCCTGGGAGATTTTAGTACTTTGATTTACCAGAGATAATAATCATCAACCATCAATAGCCATAGAAACATTAGGCAGTCAAGAAAAAAAATAGGGAAATATCATGTTCACTTCCTTTAGTAACAGTAAATTAATTACTATCCATTCATTACCAGTAATTAAATGAATTACTAGTAATGGTAAATTTATTAGTATTTGGAAAGCTACAGGAAAGCTACTATGCTGTCCAAGTAAAATACAGACTAATGTTGTATCAACTACCAGGATACATTTTTTTTAAAAAAACAGACTTTTGGGAGGGCAACACATAAAATAAAATGGTCATTTTAAAAATGGTCCCACTTTTATTTTTTCCTCCAAAAATATAGCCTGAACATAATTCTCTTCAGCAAAGTACCATTAAGAAGTTGCTGTAGTTGAAGGTCTGATTTTATGAGTTGGTATTTGGAAAAGGAAAAGGCCAGACAAGTTCTAGGTCTTGCAAACATATTTTTTGTTATCCACAAAGTTGCCAAGTCCACTTTCCAAAGCTGAGATGCTCCAATCTCCTCCTCCTCTATCATGGCTGGATTTTTGGTTTCAATTGTTTTTTATTTTGGAGTTTATTTTGTTGTTTTAACAGACGTGGCAATGCAGAGATGCCATTGACTACTGAATTAGGATTTTAATTGACTAGGATGGTTACTGGTTAAACTTCAGTTTCTCAAAACACTGGAAATTGAATGAAATATGGCCTTTCTTGTCACAAAAACAGAAGCTATGGAATTTTCCTAGAACATGTTTGAGTTTTGCAATACCAACCTTATTGGAATGTTATAAACTGAGTTTTTGTTTATTTTAACAACTGAAAAGACTAAGAGGCTTCTGCTTCAAAATAGGCCAAAAATGCAGAAGTGGTGTTTTATTCATATAATCTGCCCCTTAAAAATACTGAAATAAAAGGCTAATAAAGGAAGCACTTTTCAGAAAACACTTTTTCTTTGTAGATATCCAGCACAATGCCATTATAGAGCTTCAGAAAAGCCCTTTTGGTTTCAATGTTGGAGTACAAAATAAGTTTTGCTTTTTTCCTTCAGTCCTTGGGGATCACTTTCCATTTACATATATATATCATATATATTATGATACATATGTGTAAACACCCATATAGAGCAAGGTTCCTGTTTGTGTATGTTACAATATTGTAGTATCAAGGAGAATCCAGATAGCAACACTGTTTAACATGAGGTTTGAGGTAATTGGTTCTTGAAATACCTGGATCACAAACTGCATCCAGAAATGACAGCTGGGCAATGAATGAAAAGTGTTTTTTTTTCAGATAGAGATAAAAAAAAATTAAACTAGTAAAAGAAAAATAAAGCTTACAGCAGTTGCTTTTACATGGAAAAATAAAGGCACAACAGAATAGCATTACATTTCAGAACAGCTGGATGGACATAACACAAGTATGATCTCTTTCTGTGGAAGTGTCCTGACAAAAAGCATTGCTGCTTATTCCATAGGCTACTACTTCAGCCAGGGAACTGAGCATCACCCTAAAACGAGGCATGGAAAAGGAAGTCCCATGTAAATAAGGGACCAGGTGTGCTTAGAAAGTGTTCCAGGAACACACACACACACACTTGTGATCACACAGGGTTGGATGGAAACTCTGGTTTCCACAGGGCTGGGACTTCACCAGAACACAGCAGAGGGACTCAGTAGTTGCAGGAGTCTGCTTGAATTAGTGAGCACTAATTGCAAAAGGCACACTGTCAAACCAGCTCCAAGGCAGTGCCATGTGTTGTTTGGTTTAAAGCTTTTTTCAGTACCTCTCACCCACTGACACTGTGCTATCATGGCTGGGAGGACTAAAAAGACTGGAGTGAATTTTAAGTCCAATGGAAAATTAGGTTACATCCCCCTGGCTCCCCCCTTTTTAGAATACCTTGGATTGCTTACACAGATTTGGGAAGCTCTTTCTCTTAGTAGGACTTTAGACATGACAGTGTTCCCTTTCTTTAATGCCTCCAACACAGGCTATTAAATCTGATTTTGGGAGCGCAGAGCACATAGCTGTGTGTTCTGGTGAAGCCTGATTAGTTGTGTCACTTCAGAGAGAAGGAATTTCTAGGAACTGGTTTTATCAGGATTCCACTGGCAACAGCTCCTTACAGATCATACTGTCAGTGCAGCAGACACAGCTGCTGTGAGCGGATACGGCAGCGAGCGGGATCAGCCCGGCTATTTGGCCTCGGTAAATTCTCAACACCCTGACTTCACAACTCACTGCAGCACCACAGCATATGCCAAAAGACACTCTGCCCACACATGGCTACTCGCATGAACACGTGAAAAAACTCCTCCTGGGTTAACTGAAGATGGCCACAGAAAAGCAATAAGCATCTTTAGCAGAAGGGATGTGACATGCAAGATAACCTAAACATATACTCAGTGCTGTCCTCAAAGCATGTCCAAGTACATCCAAACTTGCTCCTCAAACTGTTTTCAGGCTACACTTGTTCTATCCTCTAGACTTTGATGTAGTGCACACTTAATTTAAACATTATATATATATTTCTTTATTTATTTGCTGTGCATACACAGACCTTTCTCCCTTTTCCCTGCAGAAACATATTAGACATTACAAAAATAATTTGTGGTATAAAAGAATTCTCACACAATGTAGAATTTTTGTTTGTATATGTAACTAAAATATATATATATATATTTCCAAAAGTAAAAAAGTCAAAATGTCCTTATTTTCCTCTATTATATAGTCTATTTTATTTACAATGTTACCAAACAATATCCTGTATGTAAAAGTGACAAAAGTTTGTGGGACACTTCCTGCTTAGCAACTTCCCAAGCAGAGTGTGGCTTGAAGAGGACTGCAACAACAGCACTGTCACACCTTATCCCCCAGCACCTTCCTCTGCAGTACAAGTTCCTTCCATGCTTAGTGAAACCAGAATTTTTCCCTGCAAAACAGGGCGAGCTCTGACACTCTGCCTAGGAAGTCTTACAAGAGGAATAAAACATCTCAGTGCTGCAATGTTGAGGGGATCAGGATTCCTAACAGCCAGGCCTGACCCAGCCAGCCTGGAAATGTATGCTTCCACTGAAACCACTGACTTCCAAGTGGGAACAGCAGGGAGTCAGGAGACCCAAGGAAAACATAGGGGAGTTACTGGGGGGCACTCACAGACCTTCTCTTCAAAACAAAGACCTCTGCACTTCCATAGGTGTAACTGTCTAGCACATAAAGATATCCTGTAGGAGAATTTCAGCAGAATAAAAAGTGAGTTACTTTTGTTTTAAATAGAGACTTCTTAATCATCAGGACCAGCTAAAATCCTTAATTATAATGAATAGGGCTGGTACTACTTAACTGATGGTTAGGCTGGTTTATAGCCATCTCTTATAAAATGCCTGTATATTTCAATATAAGCCATATACAATTTCCAACCTTGCTGTATTCATGAAATTTCATCAGTAAGTCACAGCTCTACTATCTCAAAAAAACACTCCAGTTTTAGTTCCTGTGGTATTTCCAGTTTAAAATGCAGAGTCAAATTTTCTGCACCTAGGAAACCATCCCAGCCAGTGCAATAAATTCAAGAAAGGGAGTTCCACCAGAGAGATGGAGAATCCTAGCTCTTAAAGTCAAGGAGAATTTTTACTCAGGATACTCAGTGTTAATATTCACCTATGAACTTCCATATGAGGGAGGGAGGTGACCAATAAAATTCTGCAGCCAAATTTTTGAAGAGCTGTTTCCTCTAAGTCTGAATGGGAAGTGAAATTCAGCACTTGGGAAGTAAAGTAAGAGGTGTTGTCACCATCTTATTCAAGGGAGTGTTAAAAGGAAAAGAGCTGCAGTTGCTTATGACAGCTACACCTATGGATGTGCCCAATTCCTGACTTGGAAAAAGCCTCTGCAGTACCAAACAGAACCAAAATCATGTTGTCAATGAGAGTTCAAATGGATTAGAGGTGAGGAAACTACTTGCTTGACAGCTCAACTGCTGAAAGACCAACAAGTTAATCAGAGCTAGTCTTTGTTAATAAAATAAATAAATACCAGTTTAAGAAACAGCTTTATCCAAATTGGTACACATTAAAAGTTCAGGATTTCCTTCTATGCTGCAATAGCAAGACACACGTACCTACACACATATAAAACTTGTTATCCAGCACACACCCAATTTGGAAATTCTTTTTCCAATCAGTTTCTGAATCCTGCTGACAAGATGATCTATAAGGAACCATTGCACCAGGAAGATGTAACACTTTACAATCAACATTCGGTCAAGGTTTGTACAGGGTCGTGCAGTTCCCCGCAGTAAGATAAGCTACATGTGAGAATTTGTGTTCATGCTTTCTCAAAAGAGAAGATTTCAGACACTGTTTAATAGGCTATTAAAATAATATGGCACTTTCAATAAATACTTTAAAGCTTTTTAAAGAAATCAGGATAAAAAAGCAACTGCTGTAATGAGCCTGTTTTAGCTATAATACGTAACGCTGAAGGAAAAAATCCAGAAGAGCAAACAGATATTAACAGTTAAAAGACAGTACAGCTTTTTTTCTTTCTGCAGCAATAGGAACTGGCCCCCATTCCCTGGGGAAAGGGAGCAAGCCCACCTCAAAACAAGTATTCACTCATTAACTGCTCTACGCTCCACCCCAACCCTTACATCACTTCACTTCTAAGACATAATCACATTTTCATATAAATCTCAGTGCAGAAATGTATTAAACATGAAAAATACCGATCCTGCAAACATTTACAACCACACTTAACATTAAGTGAGTGGCTAATGTCATGACACCAGAAGAGCTACCTACACCCTCAATGCTAAGCATAGGTTTGTTGCAGCATCAGGCCCAAAGGTGCCAATGGCCACCAGGGACATTGGCTGGGTCTAAATGGGATCGTTCTGTCTGGTTTTGTCAAGGTTTTCTCAACAGAAGCACATCAAGAAACAGAAACTTTCAAACCTACACACGGAAACACAGTTACATGTGTGTACATACTAATATGCAATATACATTCAGTAACTTGAAAGAATAGGTTAAGACTTTATTCAGATAGACAAATTAAGGCAATTCTCTTAATGTCTCTTCAAGATAAAGGACCATGTCCTCATTTGTGACCTCTAGGTTTTAAAGCTATACTTTTCAAGAAATATATTTCAATTTTTTTTAAATATTTTCTCCAATTAGCAGGTTTTTTTTCTTAATAAATTATATCTGTGCAAGGGTGCACACTGATAATTTGGCAGTGGAGAGAAGTCCAATTCATTTATATATAATACAGACTTTTTACATTTCCATTACAGGGTGATTAGTTTAGGACTGCATTTTGGCTTAACACAAAGAAAAATTTAGATCTGGCCATCCAATGGACATAACTTTGTCAGTCTAGCAAGACACAAAATTCATGTTATATTCAAAGTAAAAAAAAAAAGAAAAAAAAAAAAAAAAAGAAAAGAAAAAGAAAAAAAAAAAAAAAAAAAAAAAAAGATGTACTGTCCTTTCACTAAAACAGACCAAAAAAAAAAAACCAACATAGAATGGAAACAGCCTTCACAAATAAGAGTGAATAATGCCCAGGTACCTTATATAGGCAGTTATTCCACAACTGTATACAGTTATTTACAATGGTGCTTTATTAAACAAAACAACAAAAAAATGGTAGCACTTCCTAAAAGATTTTGGAACTTTTTTTCTTTTTTTAATTTTTTTAAAACTCCCTTGTCATAAAAGCCAACTTACATTAAAATATACTTACTACAAGACAACACAACTAACAAAATATATAATAAAACTCATACAAGTAGAAAATTCTGAGGTATTTCTGGTTTGAGGTGGTCTGTGGTCATGAAGTTTTTAATTTTTTTTCAGTTTAAACCTCGGAAGCCACATAACGTGTGTGTGTGTATGTTTTGTGTTTGGTTTTTTTTTTTAAGTTTTTTCTTTTTTAAAACATTGCATGTTTTGCAAATTAAAAAAATATTTCAATGTTGAATCAGCAGCATTAGGAACATTCACTGACTAGAGCGAGTTTATGGCATAATAAGAGTAACGGTATTTTTGAATATGCACCACTTTAAGACAAAAGATTTTCATCACAGAGTAAGGAGAAAGCAGCGTCAAAGAAACCAGTGGGAGAGGTGCTGTGGGAATCACTGCTGCTGCTGAGCTGCCTCAGCTCCCTGCAGCCAGGCAGCTCTCAGATGCTACAGGAGCCAGCTGCCACCATTCACTCCCCCAGTCCCAAATTAATAAAGAAAAAAAATTTATATAACCAGCGTTCACCCTTTTCCTCTTTCCACCATCTGCGCCATTAGCTTGGGCTGAAAGATAATCAACCCAAGGCCAAATTGTCTCAGCTGACTCACGCTTAAAATGAGATGCAAAAATTTTCTCATCTTCCAGTATTTTACCAAAGTGCTTCTGAAATCACACTTCCCCACCTGTCCTGATGGCATTGAAAGCATCCTTCCTACTACTACCTGGAACTGAAAAATAAAAGTTATAGTCCTGTTTTGTTCTTTTACCACCCAACCCCAGACTCTGGAGGAAGAAACAAGTGCCTGTCTTCCAACCACTGCCTCTTTAACTCCGCTTTCTCCATACGCTGCAGCCGTAAATACTCTGCCCAGAAATGTCCTTCCCCTCCTCTAATGGTTACCTGAGAAGTAGCTCCATAGCAAATGATGTTTCCCCAAATGCTGCCAAGTCCAACGTCACTCTCCCCACCCCTATTCTACGCTCCCCCCTTCAATTATACCATCAAGAATTAACATTCTCTGCCCAGTTACTTTTTTTTTCCCATGTTACAATGACACCCGTTAGATCCGTAAAAGACACATCTGCTGTTTTTTTCTGAAGCTCACTTCCAAAAAAAAAAAAAAATTAAAAAAATAAAAAAGGAACTGAACCCAAAACCAACATGGGGAAAAAATGCTTTTGAGGAAGGTGTATTCTTTACATAACAGTCTTAAGTTTCCTCCACAGTTTGCAGCATTGCGTTTTCGAAGGTGGTAGGTGGTTTTCCTTTATGTCACAGATGCTCTGCTCAGAAGACAAACTGATAAAGAGAAACCCAGAAAACTGAATAAAATAAAAACAACTGAAGTGAGTTTGTTGAGGTTCTGAGGTACCTGCACCTTTTCTGCATTCATTAGTCGGCACCTGAATGCTTGCTGAAATGTCCATTTTTTTTAATACAGTAGAGCAATGTGCTGGTAAAATTGATCCAATCCAAAAAAATAATAATAATAATAACAATAATAATAAAAAGTCAAGATAAAATAGCAGCTGCATTCATGGGTTTGTTGAATTTTTGTGATTTTGTTTTTTTTTTGTACTTTTTTTTTTCTTTAAACTCTTTTCCTTGTCGTTTTTTTGTTTGTTTGTTTTTAAATCCGCTGAGTCTGGAAAGACAAAAGTGAACCAGGACCCAGCACTCAGATACTAGACTCTTTGGGTGGCAAGTCCACGTTGGTGACGGACGTCACGATGGAGACGAGGCAGTCCGAGGTAGTGCCGTTGACGGATTTGCGGATCTGCGCGATGCGCTCCTCGACGCAGCCGGCCGAGAGCCGCGCCTCCGCGTCGTGGTCCCAGCACTCTTCAATGGTCACGCAGAGCTGCGCCAGGCCCTGCGGACACAACGGCCAGAAAACACCTTCAGTCACCTGCCCTGCCGTGAGCATCATGCAGAATTCAAGAGCAACATCACCTGCCCTACCATGAGCATCATGGAGAATTCAAGAGCAATGTCACCTGCCCTATCGTGAGCATCACACAGAATTCATAAACAACGTCACCTACCCTATCGTGAGCATCAGGCAAAATTCATGAGCAATGTCACCTGCCCTACCGTGGCAATCACGCAGAATTCATGAGCAATGTCACCTGCCCTACCATGAGCATCATGGAGAATTCATGAGCAAGGTCACCTGCCCTATTGTAAGAATCATGTAGAATTCATGAGCAAGGTCACCTGTCCTATCATGACAATCACGCAGAATTCATGAGCAATGTCACCTGCCCTACCATAAGGATCACACAGAATTCATAAACAACTCCACCTGCCCTATCATGAGCATCCTGCAGAATTCATAAGCAATGTCACTGTCCTATCGTGATGATCCTCCAGAATTCATAAGCAATGTCACCTGCCCTACCATGAGCATCATGCAGAATTCATAAACAATGTCACCTGCCCTATCATGAACATCACACAGAATCCATAACCAATGTCACCTGCCCTATCGTGAACATCACACAGAATCCATAACCAATGTCACCTGCCCTATCATGATGATCACGCAGAATTCATAAGCAATGTCACCTGCCCTATCGTGAGCCTCACGCAGAATTCATGAGCAATGTCACCTGCTCTTTCATGAGCATCATGCAGAATTCCTAAGCAGATAGTTGGAACAGATTGACAGTGGCAATGTTACGTGCAGAAGGCTCTTTCCACAAGAATTGACATCAAACTGTACTTGAGTCAACTTTACAGTACAAAATTTGTCAAACTTAAGGACGCATGTGAAAATATAAACAGGTGAAAGATCAGGCTTTCAACTCTACCATGAGGATCATGCAGAATTCATAAGCAGATAGTTTGAACAGATTGACAATGGCATTGTGCAGGCTTATGGCATAGAATTGAGGCCAAAAATGTTACTTATATGTAATTATATAGCTCCTAGCTAGCTCGCGCACTTTTCCTACCCTGATATGCAGAAAGACAAAACACATTCCAAAGGTTCCTGTCCTACCTTGTGTTTTCTTGAGAACCAAGGATGACCTACCCTCCCAAGACACTTTTTCATAAACAAAGTACAACTGTTACCAATGGGGGGCTCCAGAAAAGGTTGGGCCAAGAGGAGGAATTACCTCATCACCTGTGTTTCTAATTGGAGATTCTTGTTAATTATGTTAATCAGCTAAACTTATAAAGATATATTTGCCCTATGTGGGGTGGGCATTTTTCCACATCTGCCTCTGGAGGCCTCCAATCAAAGACCAATCAAAGTTTTTATATTACCTCCTGTGCTAATATTGTCTCAAAAGTGTGTAGTTTTATTTCTATATCTTTAAGGCATCATGGGCACCACCTTGTCAGTGGCTGGAGAAATCCACTCACACAGCCAATGCTCTAAAAAACCCCTACAAGTATTTTTTCCACAGTATGCCAATTACCATGAAATAAGCTTCAAAAATTACTTTAAACATGTGTTTTCATGGTTCTTTTTAAGCATCTGCTTTCTAAGGCTTGGTCACACTCCAGCCCAAAAGTGCTTTTTTTAATATCAAAATAAATCCCAAGATTCACCAGTTGAAGCTTCAAAAGACAACAAATATTAAGATTCCCATGATGAAACTGTGAGAGCTGGCAGCACTGTATCAGTTACTATGAAACCATTTGCTTTGTTTGCAATCACTTCTCTCAATATCCCCAAAAAACCTGAATTCAACAGTGCTTGAAGAACACAGCTCTTATTTGAACCCTCATTTGAAGTGGAACACTTTTTTTAACAATCCACAGCTCTCCCTAACTTCTGGGAAATGAGTTAGTACACCTGAGTCTAGCAAAATCTGTAGCAGTTTGGGAAAAACAGAGGTATTTGACTTCTTACTGAAGCCCAGTGAGATGTCATCATCTCTTATCTTCCCGATCTAAGGAAAATCAGCTCTTTTATTAAAAATGTGAGCCTGAAATGAACTACCTCTGGGAAACCCACACTGCATTTTGCTTCATTGTCTGCTTGCTTTCACATCTAATTAATTTTTCCTCCATAAACTGCTCCAAGTCTTGCATGGTATCTAGCTTGTGAGGAGTCTGTCTCCAGTGGTATGGATGGTTTTCTTTTTCTTAATGAAAGGACTTTATTTTCCATTCTTTCACCATACTAAAGGAGCCCTGCTAAAGCACCACACGCTCCACATTCAGCACTAGCTGATTATGCAGCTTGTTTAGTCTCTAAACACAAGAGATAAAAAGAAAAGGGAGCACAAAGATGTTGAGCAACCCCTCATTCCCCAGAGCTGACTCTGGCTAACACTGGGAATGCATAACCAATCCCTCATTCCCATCACACAGGAAAATGTTTTCCACTGTTAAACCAGGAGGGACGTACGGGATGTTTTAGCCAGTGATCCTTGAACGCGGGGCGCATCTTCTTGTGAACCACCACTTCTTGCAGGTCCTCCAGGGATGGGTGCTGACCTATTTCTTCTTCAAAAGGCAGCATGTATTCATCCACTGGACCTGCAGTGCACACAGAGAATCAGGTTAGGGCAGGAATGGCCTCTGCAGAGCCACGGTGTCCCCATGCATGAGTGAGCTGCAGCTCCGGAGCAACCTCAACCTACAGCAACAAAGGCTGACGTTCACATGTCACTGCAGACAAATGTGATTTACATTCCTCCTGCACAATGGTTTCTGCTGTCCCTGCTGCTTGTCTGGCCGTGCATTTTCCACCTCGCTGAGTTACAAATCCAAACCCTCAGCCAGGCCTCCAGATCTCACCCTTTCCTTGAGGAAGTTTGCCAGGTAATCCGTGATTTATTTAATATAAAGAGCAGATCAGCTCATCCTCCCTACATTTTAACACAACAATTCAACACACAATAACCTAGAGAAAGATTTCAGCATGAGCATAATTTCATTTTAGCGCTGACTAACAAGGTCAAGTATATACAACACATAATTTTTTGCTTTGTGATCTGGTTTGTTCACAGGTTTGACTCAGCCCTGACACACTGGAGCCAGATGCACTTGTCCCAAGTACTGGCTCCTAAGTGGAAAATGATTTCTGAATGCTTTACTTATACCAGTTATGGCTGTGAACTGCCCAGGGCCACGGGAATGAGACAACTGTTATGACAATCAGTGCAGATGCTGGATGATAGCAGCAACTTGTGCTTATTGAAACATCATTTGGCTTTTGGCAATGTGTAGATGCTCTCTCACAAAGAGCAGCCCAGCTTAACTGATGGGCTTCTCAGGGTGCTCCATGGCACCACTTATGGTTTCTCAGTAGCAAAAAATGACCTCTTTTCAGAGCAGAGATACCTCAAAAGGCTCTTTCCAGATTAAAATAAAAGAGCTGACCACTTCATCTGCTCATGAATTGTGACACCAACAGCACAATGTTTACTCTAAAGAATGAAATCATTTAAGTGGCTTATCATTATTCTTGTTCACTCAGTGGCAGTCACTAAACCAAACTGAAAGACTTGCTCCAATCAGGGTCACTTATGACTTTCCTTTTCCTCCAAGAGGAACCCAGGCTGTGGAGGAGCTGCACTGGTGATCTGCAAGCTAAATGTGCTGTTTACACAGCATCACTTCTGAGCTGAAGTGCTGATGAGGCTCAGTGTAACTCCCCATCACCCCAAAGGAAGCCTTCCCTCTGACTCAGTGGTGCTGTGTGTGGCACCTGGGCTATCTCAGCTGCCTGGACTGGCAGGAGATCACAATCATGACAGGAAAAAATGGAAGTGGATATTTGGGGCACCTCAACAGAGAAGGGCAGTTCCTATATGAATGATTTGTGTGCCACTGTTTTACCATACTGTGCTCCCGGCTCCCTGCATTTTACCTCTTAAGACTGTACATTTCTGAAGATGAGACCTTCTGTTACCACACACTTATGGAAGACATTTTAATTATAATCACACTCCTCAGTCCCACTGTAATGCTAACAAAAACATTTCAAGTCTAGGCAAGATGCTGTTGTTTAATGAACTTGATTTTCAGTTCAGAGCACCCATATTTATACAAGAAGAAAACAGTTGGAGGAAGCAGCCTTGCAGCTACTACAATGATGTGACTGCTTCCCTGCCCTGGACATGGCAAGGGTCACTAAAGGACAGATGTGCTGGTTGGACAGCAAAGATGGCCCACTTCACAGCATCATTTTAGGATTAAAAAAAAAGGAGAAAAGAGACACCATGAAATTCATACTTGTAAATCCTTCAGGAGAAAGTGAGATCTTCCAAAGCTGTGAATGAAACAACAAACCTAGCCCACTCCTGAGAGAGGGCTTGATCAGCAAAAATCAAAGATCAATAACTAATGACTTATGACAGCAGGGAAATGGGCTTGCTGACCCAGGAAGCTCCTTCCAGCCCTGTGTTCCTGCTATAAGGTGCTTTCCATGCAGGCTACCCCACTGCCCTGCACAAGCCAGGTGACAGCCAAGTTGGCTGTGTGGCTCTTCTCAGGAGCCCAAGGCATGCCCTGGTCACAGGCAGAAATGTGGAGTGCCACTGAGAGCAGCACAGGGCAGGCTCAGGAGTAAAGGACACCCACCCTAGGGATCTGAACTCTCAGCAATTTGCAAGGTAACCAACATAGTAAAAAGTACTTTGAGGTTGGAGCACTTACAAAGGTTATAATATACAGAGAATAACACCTTATGTTAAAAACAAAGGAAAAACAGGTTAGCTGCTTTTAATAAAAATATGCAATTTTTTTTTTTAAACAGAGATAGGTCCATTCTCTGGACAACTAAACCACATTGAAACAGAACCCTCCCTAGGGAATAAGTCTTTATTCTTACCATCAACTGCTCTACACCTGGAGACTAGCTCCCACAACACCAGTCCCATTGCATACATGTCTATCCTCAGGAAGGCGTCTCGTTGGAAGTTGATTGCTCCCTCCAACACTTCAGGAGCCATGTACCTCCTTGTTCCCACCTGGAGAGAAAAAGCACAGCTCAAGCCACATTGCATTTGGGCCCCTCAGCCTCTGCTGGGTGGAGGTGAGTGACAGCTGGTTTCATTAGCCTGGAGGCCACTGCTGCTAAAGGTGAACCTTGCTCAAAAAACAAGCAAAGGGGAGCTGTTTCTTCTGACACTGATTCTCATTAAGATCACTCCAGTCCAGATAAGCAACATAAAGGAGGGAGCCAAAGTGCAAGGCTACATGTGTGATACTCATTCAGTGCACACTGCAGGTCTGCATCCTGCTGCATGTTGCTCTGGCAGAACACCCTGCGTGAAATTATGTCTTTGGAGACACACAGAACACCCTGAGGTCAAGTCTGGCTTAGTTATCTCAATTGTTGAAAGCTCAATCCTCTTTCACTCAAAAAGTAAAAACTCTCAACAAAAAATTCCAAATCCAAACAAACAACCTCTCAAATAAACAAAAACAGAATCAAAAAAAAACCAGAAAAGGGAAAAAATTATATATCCTGAAATGGTAGGAAAAGGTGTTGTTTTCACAGCCCTAGATAAAACAAGTCTCCTGCATCCACAGAATAGGAAAACATGAACTCTAGCTTGCCATGGTTTGGAAAAGATCTGCTCTTGTTTTGAGGGAATAGGCTTGTAGTGCCTCCATTGTTATGGTTAGTATAGCTTATAAGGTAGGAGAGTAAACAGGACAGCAAAGAAAAAAGCAGCTTTCTTGAGAATTGAAACACTTTTAATAATTTTCTTTAAGGAAATTCTCTTTTTGCTGAGGCAGTGGGGATAGAGTGAAACCATGGAATGATATGCAAAATACTGGAAAAATCAAAAAAAAGGTGACAAAAATGAGGAAAACTGAGTAGGGCTAACCCAGAAGAGTGTTCATTCCTTCTGAGATAAAGGTAAGAAAGGGAGACTACACTGGAGATGGGAATTCAGAAAGCACTGGAGGCACAAAGAGGGGCTGATGGACTTGCTGTCCTGGCATTAGAGCAGAATGAGGGGCTGCTTGCTGCAACAAAAAGGCAGAAAATTAAGAACTCATAAAATTGTAGTATATTGTTTACACAGTGCACAGCCAGCTGTGCCAAAGGTCACCCAAGCAGCCAGCCTGAATTCTTAAAATTAAATCAATAATTTTAGGATTATTAATAGTAGATTTGTGGTATCAGTATTAATATTTAGGAGCTTTAATATTTGTGTTATGGTCTAGAGAAGTGGGATGTGCAGCTGACTCCAAAACTAAACACTTCTAACATTCAGCTGGGCTGTCTTGCCTTGCTTTGTCAAGAAAGGCTGGAGCAGATAATCCTTGAGTCCCTCCCAACATGGTATTCTGTGATTCTATGGATATTTATACCAAAACAATAAAGAGACAATGAGCCCTGTGTCTGAAGGAGGAAGCCACCTGACCCCAGAGCTGGAGAGACCTCACCTGCACAGCAATCAGAAAGTCTGAGCACCCTCCCCACTCACTCAGATTAAAGCAGCTCCCAGAATTTATGTCATGGAAAAAATACATATCTCAAAGAGAATTAAATGCATCTACACAAACCAGCCCTCACTCCAGAGAAGCTATGGCAAGGCCAACTTTTTAAAAAGTTAAAGGTAATGATTACCTGTCCATGAGTGTCCCCTGGAGGCTTTCCAGGTTCAAACCGTACAGCCAGTCCAAAATCAGCTAGCACAGCTGTCAGGTCATTCTTCAGCAAGACATTTTTACTCTTGAAGTCCCTATGGACAAGTCAAGAAGTAAGGGAAGGGTTTATCATGGCATGTGTGTAAATCACACTGCAACACACACATTGTCTATAGCTCAGCAGCTCCCAGTAAATCCCAGCTGCTTTCTTCCTTTCTCCCCTGAGTCCCAGCATGGCCAGTGCTGCAAACTTGGCTGTTCCTCACTGCCCTTGTCCCCAAAACATGACCAAGCAGCCCTGAGCTGACCAGCACAGTCAGGCCAAACTCCACAATGAATTAATCTCAAAATAAAATCTGGTCTGAAGGGGCTCTTTAAATTAGAACAAGCTGTGTAGAAGGGACCATTTCTTGTTCCAAGCACCAGCTCTGGACCCCCATCTTCGGGGCCCTTCTCATTCCCAAGAACAAAACCAAGGCAGGTTAAGGGAGCTCATTACTCTTTATCCTGGTAAGGACATTTGCCCCTATCTACAAAATCAGATCTTTCTGGAAATCAGCAGATGCTGGTGAGACTCCCTCCACCCTGACTACACGCTTCAACAGACTTTTGCCACAGTCATCCATCAGCCTTCTGCTGTAATTGCTGGATTGATCTTCCCTGGAGAATTCAGAGGGTTGGGAAGCAGGCAGGGAAGGGGGTGAGGCCACACAGACACGCTGTCAGGGTCAGAGCAGGCAGCTGACAGGCAGGTGTAAGAGTTTGCAGCAGAGATGGTGGCTCTGTGCTTGAAGGGGACATTTGTGTCAGTGCTGTGCTGCAGCAGGATCATTTCAGGGCAGCTCAGGTAAATCTGCAGGGGCTGGGAAGGATTGGGGGTGGAGGAAGATCACACTGAGATGCCAAACCAGTCGAGCTCTGTTTCCTGGGCTTCCTGCATTTTCATCTGAAAAGGAATGTTTGGCAATCTAATTAAATTACAGACCTTAGACAGCAGATGGCAATTGTCCTGTATGCTCAGCATTATAACTTCCCTATCATCAATTCACTCGGTGACCCTGCTGATTGCAGGACATTGCAGGCCTGCACAAAATAATTAATGAGGGCAGATACAATTGTTCTGCACTAGAGAGACCTGTCAAAATTCTTTGTGAAGAGAGAAGCTGCTGGACCATAGAGAAGGGGCTGCTCCCTGCAGCCTCACATGCCAGAGCATCAGCTCAAAGCACTGCAAGCAAAAATCACCCAGCCCCTGATTCTGAGCTTAAAATAACAGAAGAGAGGATTTATCCTCTCTAAGCTGAGCACAGTGTGATGGGCATTTCTGGCTTGAGGATTAAGATGGGGGAAGTGGGTGTGAAGTTGGAGGGCACTGTGCAGCCAGTGAACCCCAGCAGAAACCAGCCTCCATCAGCTCTAGGGACTGAGTACAGCTTTGCAGAGCCTCCCCAACATTGGTACCCCTCTATTACACAGAAAAACTGCATTTCCCTCTATCTGTCATCCCAGAGACTGCCTGCTTCCATGCCATGGCAGTTTCCCCACAGGCTTAGGAAGCAGCCATCATCTAATGACATGGATAAACGCCTTTGCTCGTTCAGCTTTAGGGGATTATGCCCTCGGGATGGTGCAGATTGTGCACGAGATTTTTGCAAAGCAGTGGCTCGATGAGGACCACACAGAAATCATCAGACAATCTGCCTGAACCATGTGGTTCCAAGGTGAAACAAGATGTAAACCAGCATTACTGTATGAGCATGTGGTGCTGCTCCTCACCTGCAGTGCCCTTCAGGCATGCAACAGTTAACTCCTACATCTTGATACACCATGCAGGGATTTCCCTTTGCAATTCCATTTTTTCCCCCCATTTCCATACATTTCCCCATTTTTCCACGCTTTCCTTCCTTCCTTTCACAAACCACCTCAAACTGGCAAGTCTGAGCTGCAATGCAAATGTACCCAGGCCAGGGAGAGGGACTTAATCCAAGCCATGCCAAGTAGATTTCCCATATGCATTAGACCATCCTAAAATGGTCACTGCCAAAGAAAAGCGGCGTGAAAAGAAGAATTTTTTTAATTTTTTTTCATATAGCACTTCAAACTAGGGAACACAGAACAAGCAGACTATGAATAATGGGTGAGTTAATTCGATTGAGACACTGGAGATTTTATTTGCAGCTTCCACGTGGGGGCACTTTTGCACCAACAAGTGATTCCATAACCTTAATCCTCCTTGTGGTGCCGGGGACCAGAGAGGAGTTGGCTGAACCCCTGCCCAGCAGTGACTGGGGAGTCCCACCTGGCAACCCCAGCATCTCCATCCATGTGCACTGTGGGAAGCCATTCAAAAACACCCCCCGCGGCCCCCTCCCCAGATTTAAAATGCATTTAGTGTTTTCTTTCAAAAATAAAATTTAAAGGATAATCCGAGGGAAATCCCTTGTGTCCTGAAACCCCCTCCTCCACTAGGTATGTGCTAAATTCACACAAATGCTGCATTCTACAGCTTTTATCACTAGCTAAATGGACAGGGACACTAATGAGCACGATCTGTTGCTTTAAAGCCGTTCTATAGCCTTCCTCTGTTCCCCACCCTCAGGAATTTTCATCTATAAACCACTGCCTTTATTCTACAGGGACAAATGTCAGGGACACAGGGGTCAGCTCCAGGAGCAGCACAAAGGCAGCTGCAGGTTCTTTCAAAAGCCTCCAGCTCTCCAAAACTTTCAGGTTTGGGGAGGTGGGGTGTTCTGGGGGCAGGGATACCCTTGCAAAAACAGGGATTATCTTGCCATACATGAAGCCAGGCCTGCTTGATCAGGTACAAATTGCTGCAGCTGGACGTGGGGTTTAAGTCCCTCCTAGATGAAATGCAGGAGTATGGCCATGGATTACAGCCTGTAAATCCCTTCTGGAAATCTCCCCCATCCTGCCCTGCCACAGCAAAGCACTCAGAAGAGATGCTTTAATCTAGGGCAAGCAGCGTGGGACTTTGGAGAAGGGCTGAAGCATGAGGATGGTTTAACCCAGCTGCTTTCTTGCTGTCCCCTCTGCACTGCCACCCAGGGGGGTTGAAGAGAGTGCCAGGAGGTCCCAGGGCAGGGTGGCACCTGCTGTGGTGTCTCTCATAAGCACCCTGGTACGATTTGGGCCTTATAAAACTACAGGGAAAAGTAACTAGGAGCCATTTTCTGCCTTTCCACAGTTTCTCCATTTTTTACCTAATCAAAGGTAAAAAATGATCAAAGGCTCTGTGGGAAGACATATGCTGGAGTTATCAATCCAAATCAGGGGAAAATAGGGTCCAGCTCCTGATACAGCCATTGTGATGGTGTTCACAGGAGTCTCAGGTTGAGGGAAGAGAGAGGATCTGACTCCATGTTTCAGAAGGCTTGATTTATTATTTTATGATATATATTACATTAAAACTATACTAAAAGAATAGAAGAAAGGATTTCTTCAGAAGGCTGGCTAAGAATAGAATAATAAGGAATGATAACAAAGGCTTGTGTCTCAGAGTCTCTGTCTGAGCCAGCTGATTGTGATTGGCCATTAATTACAAACAACCAGGAGACCAATCACAGATGCACCTGTTGCATTCCACAGCAGCAGATAATCAATGTTTACATTTTGTTCCTGAGGCCTCTCAGCTCCTCAGGAGGAAAATCCTAAGGAAAGGATTTTTCATAAAAGATGTCTGCAACACAGCCATAGAAATACACAGATCATAATGTGATGATATTATCAAGCCAAGTCCTTTCAAAGAGTGGTTCTGCAGCAGCAGAATTCCCTTTCCACCAGAAGGGAAGAGTTGATGGAAGAGGGAAGCCCCTACTCTTTGGACATTCACCATCAACCATTACCAACTGTGCTATTCCACAGGCAAGACACTTGCCCCTCAGCATTTTATATGTGGTTGAAAAAATTTCTTGTCTTAGCACAGGATTTGCTGGGTTAAAAGGCCTTTACTTCCTAAAAGCACAACCTCCTCCTCCGTTCAACAGCATCACTTCAAAGACAGTGTCAACAAAAGAGGCTTTACCTGTGTGCTATGGCAGGTTTGTGTCCTTCACCTTTGCACCAGGGGACATCTTCATGAAGGTAGGACAAGCCACGGGCCATTGTTTCTGCAACATGGCAGAGCTCATTCCAGCTGATGATGTTGCCCTTCAGGTAATCTGTCAGAGAACCCTGCAGAACAGGACATTGTCAGTTCTTAATCACAGACCCCTCTATGTGACAGATGTGCCAACTCATCAGTTTAGAGAATGCTTGAAAAATCTGAGCCTTGATTTAATGGTGGGGGGGAATCTCTAATGAAAGGAAAAATAAAAAATAAAAATCAGAAGTGTCCATGAGTTTTCAGCCCTTGACAGCACAGACCTCCTGATGTCTACTTATCTGCCAAGGAAAGGGAGGGAGGTAAAGAAGGGGAAAAATCACCTTTAACCAAAGCAATTCATCCAGCCTCAGCAAGGGGAAAGCCTTCCATGCAAGATGAAGCATTGTATCAGCTGGCTGTGGCAATGATTGACTCAAGAAGACCTTGGATTTACCAGGGGGATAACACTGCTGGCTCAACCCCAGATCTGCACGTTTGTTTTAAGTGTTAGTCATGGTTTATAACTAAAGCAATCCATGAAGGGGCAGATGTGCCCCAAGCCTCAAAAGCAAACATGGAGCCCATCTGCAAGGGCCAAGCTGGATCTGTGAAATCCCTCATGATGCTCATCTATGCACATCAAGAGATGGTGACCATTACAGATGTGAGCTGTGTCCTTTTGTGCCTCTCTCCCTTCCTAAATCCCACTTTTATTAATCCTTTATTTGTGTAGGAAAGCTCAGAAAACTAAAGGTGGGGCATTTGAAGCAGGGGAGCAGGAGCACTTTGCTACCAGAGAATCATGGCCCACCAGGAACACACTGGGGGAATTACAGGGATTATAATCCTGCTGTACCTCCCTCTCTGCCTTCCCAAAATGTACATGCAATGATACATTACCTTGTCATGGAAAGCTGTGATCAGCCAGAGCTCTGTCTCCAGGTTTGTCCCCCTTTTCTCTGCTGCGATAAATTGCAAAAGGTTTTCATGCTTCATGCCAGGAGTGTTGAAAATCTCCCTCTCACTCTGCCAAGATTGCTTATCCTGAAGCAGGGAGAAAGGCACCATCAAAGATCACGCTTCCCTTTAAAGCAAACAGCTCCTTCAGTGCAGTCAGAGCTGCTCACACTACTCTAAAAATCATGCTCCTGTGTTAGGATGTGATGCATCCCTGCAAAAAAAGGCTGTTTTCCCTAAAGAAGAAAGACAAGTTGCTGTCCTCAGTCTCCCCTCTCCAAAATTATCCTCAGCTGTTCCTAGAGAACATGTGTGGGGAGTGAAGAGGAAGCCAAACCCAACCTTACTGAGAAATAATATTTTTCAAGATTTCCTAAGGATACTTGCAAGAAGAAAGCCTGAGCACACAGCACCCAGGATCAGCCTTGCAGTGTAATTGCTGCAATTGCAAAATCTAATCTAGGCTCTATTGAATATTTACTAGTAGGTCACAGCTGGCTTGGACAGAAGATGTGCAGATCTCTTTTGACAACAAATATGAGGTGAAAAAGTAATGAAGGAGACAGCAGAGGAGCACAAAGATGTTTTCTGTAATTTTTGTTTCACTTGACTTTTGATTGCTTTACTCTTTTCATCTGCAGTTCCTAGAGAACCCGGTCAGGAATGTTCAAAGATTTCCTAGAGCAGAAGACAGGAGCTGACAAAAACACTGCAGCACAATCAGCTCTCACAGCACCAGGGCTCTGCCTTTGGAGGCTGTAAATGCTCACTAGGTTTGGATGCAGATTTACAACCCACCCAGGCACGACACACAAAGCCAGGGCTCTGGCCCTTTGTGTGCACTTTGGGCACTGCAGCTGCACCCTGCCTTGCTGGATTTAAACCACACTTTATTTGCATTTGCAGGGAAGTTAACATAGCCTGTAGATTTCAGAATGTGCTTGTTTTTGCCCTTCTTGCAACAAGCACTACTACAGGAAGCATTTGGCAATGAGATAACACAGGGAGAAGTGTAGGAAGGAAGGGTCCTTGAACTTTTTCCCCCAGCAGAAGAGCCCAAATGCATCTTTGTTATGGTCTCAAAATCCATAATCTCTACAGACGCTTAGAGCATCTCAGCACTGGTGGGGAAGCCCCTGGCAAGTAAGAACCTAATGCAGTGTCCCTGTTACCTGAATGGGGAAGATTTTCACTGCTACATAGTCGTTCATCAGCTGAGCCTTCCACACGCAGCCAAAGCGTCCCCTTGCCTTGATCTCCAAGAGCTGCAGGGGCTTTAGGCCAACCAGGGGAGAAGGGGGTGGTGGGCCAGGATCCTGCACAAGAGAAAAAAACACTGTCACCAGCTGAAGCTGGGCTGTAATATAAAGGAGGGAGGAATCGAGATACTGCACATGAGGAAAGAAGTGTGAAGAAATAACATTTATTTAATGAAAGTTATTTAGGTGCACTGTTTGCAGCAAGAACAGCCTGAAATTCCCTGTCTTGCTTGCTCTGTAGGGTATTGGTATAGAGCACATATAACAATCTATACCTCCAAGTGTCACTTTGTGACACTACTGCCTGCCATGCTCTGGGCGAAACCTGAATTCTCCTGTGTTTTCAAAGCAAAAGTTATTTTGAGTGTAAAGCACCAATGTCCTCAAGGCTACCTCCTGCCAAAAGTGGGAACCTTAAGATCTTTGTGACCAGAGAGCCAACTGCATCTAAAACCTCCCACTGCTCTTTATTAGCATGTTCCATGCCACCCCAGCCATGGGCAGTGAACAGGTCTGTCAGCATCACACAGATCACATCTGTTTAAACTCTGCATTGTCCAGGAGAACAATGTGACCCTGTAGGACCTGTGGGGTTGGAGCTCTGTCCTACCTGCTTTCAGATGGGAAAGCTTCACAGAATCATAGAATGGTTTGGGTTGGAAGGGAGCCTTAAAGATCACCCAGTTCCAACACCCCTGCTATGGGCAGGGACAGCTTCCACTAGGCCAGGCTGCTCAGAACCCCATCCAATCCAGCCTTGAACACTGCCAGGGATGGGACAGCCACAGCTTCTCTGGACACCCCGTGCCAGGGCCTCACCCCCTTCACAGGGAAGAATTTTTTCCTGATATCTAATCTAAACCTGTTCTCTTTCAATCTAAACCCATTCCCACTTGTCCTGTCACCATGTGCTCTTGTAAAAAGTCCCCCTTCCCTCCTTCTTGTGGGCTCCCTTCAGGTACTGGAAGGCTGCAATTAGGCCACCCCAAAGCCTCCTGCACCCATTCTCTGAGGGTTCATAAAAACTGAGCTTCATCAGGGAAAGCAGCTTCCCTCCTCTCATAGAGCTGGCAGGAACTTTATCATCTCTTAGATCTCTGAGGCTCTACAAAGTTGGCTGAAATCAGGCAATGGGTTTGGGAGTTTGGGAGGAAGGGCAGCCACCAAGCAGGGCTGCCTAATTCCCTCCCTCAGCTATCTCAGACATGGTGGTAACCCCACCTAAACTCATCAGTCTGACACTTCCATGGAGGCCAACTGTGCTACCAGCTCCAAAAAGCAGCGAAGTGTTGGAACCCAGGAAATTCCTCCAGCTCCCTGGAGGATGTGAGACCCTGTCAGGGGGCTAAGGGACCTTGGCACGGAGCCCAAGACCCCTGTGCCTTTGATTTAGCCCTTGGAAAAAACAATTACCAACCTTATATGAAGAATTACAAGTCAAGAAAGTTTAAGTAGAATGACAGTGAATTTATCACAGGGTGAAAAAAGATTTTTGAGGTTTTTAGAATGGAGGCTCGGGGTCCCAAGATGGAGGAATTTGGGTGTGCCTTATCCTTTTTCCTTCTTCTTCTTGGCCTCCATCTTCTGGGTGATGTTGGCATTTTTAGATTGGTTTAGAGTAGTGCTGTCATTACATTGCAAGGGTTCCATAGAGTTTTGTACCTCCTTGATGTTTCTTGTAGGCAACTCCTCCAGGCACTGACTCTTCCTTGCTCTCACAGCAGCCAACTGACTCCAGTTCCCCTCAACCAACCAATCCACTCTTTTATAACACTCTTCTGATTGGCTACAGCTGTGGCCTGTTAAAATCAGGCCTGCTCCTAATCTTTAATAATAAACCCAGCTGCAACTCTTTAGGCGGTAAGATTACTTTCTATACTACCTTTATTTACTTATATTCTATCCCCCTACAGAGTAGAAACTCACTGTGTAACAGGTGATAGGTATTGGGAAGTTATTGTAAATAATGTACACATAGTTTTTAGTATAAAAAGATAACACCAGTGTGCCTCAACCTGACCTGCCAGACAGACCTCGGCTGGTCGGAGAAAAAATTTTATAGATAAGAAACAATAAACAAGAACTGAAGAGTTCTGACTCCTTCAATCACTGGGCTGGGAAAAGACTTTCTAACGCATCTCAGGGTCACTCTGACCAGCAGAGACTCCGAGAAGAAGAAAAGTTAGGCCACCTGAGAAGAGTTTTGCAAGGCCCAAACCAAGGGGGGAGACTCCCTGACCTCAATGATGTCCACGTGGCCGTAGGGAGGCTTGCGGTGCCGGTACATCCAGAAGGCCAGCAGGATGGCCATGGACAGCACGGCGATGGGCAGCAGCGAGTACACCAGGATGTTCAGCAGCGACGGCGTCGGGGGCGGCGGCTCGTAGATGACTGTGGGAAAAGAGCAGGGTAAGAGAGGGAAAAGGAGCTTCAGGAACGCAGCAGCACTGTCAGCTGCACATCCAGAGGCGACCAAACCCCATGTGTCCCTCCGATCCAAAGATAACTGGCATGTCCCATGATGACAGCCACAAGGTTCGAAATCATCTTTACAGTCTGATTCATACTGATGGACTTGTCACAGACATCTTTTGTGAAAAATCATTTCTTTAGGATTTTTCCCTCTTCTGGGAAGCTGAGGCCCCAGAAGAAGAATGTAAACAATGGTTATCTGCTGCTGTGGAATGCAACAGGTGCACCTGTGATTGGCCCATGTTCCATGTGTACAATTAAGGGCCAATCAAGGACAAGCTCTCTCTGGGACAGAAGCGGAGAGAGCTCCGTTGTTGATTCATTCCTTTTTCTATTCTTAGCATAGCAGCTTCTGAACTTCTCTCTCGATTCCTTTTAGTATAGTCTTAATGTATTATATATCATAAATTAATAAATCCAGCCTTCTGATCATGAAGTCAAGATTCTTGTCTATCTCTTCACCCCTGAGGAACCCTTGCAAGTCTGGTAACAATGGACAAACCTTTTTCCTCTGTGTTTATGGTCTTTAGTCATATTTACACTGGGTGTCAGCAAAGTAAGGCTTCCAATGCTACATGGACCACCTTTGGTGTTGGATGGGATGGCTGGCCAAGCTCTGTCTCCACAGATGAAAAACATCCCCCATGGTAATTGTAAAGGGCTATGACTAGGTGCTAAAAACAGAACTGAGGTACAATTATACCAAGAATCCACCTCTTTGTACACAATGTGATAGGGAGTGACATCTGGAGTTTTGTCTTTGTTTTGTTCAAACCCAAAAATGTCGAATTTGATGCAAAAATCCATTTGTACAGAACCAAGAATTTCCAATTCTTGGGGTTCAAAAGATGCTTCAGGAAGGAATTTGGTCCAAACACCCCATCCATCAGAGGGATTTATAATAAATTGTGAAAGGTGTGGAGGAATGGTTTTCAGTATTGGCCAAGTGTCTACTGGCAAACTGACCAAAGAAGTTGAAAATGTTCAGGTCTTGAATGAGTTAAACAAATGGTATCTAAGCCTGATGCATTGGCTAAGGTTACCCAAATGTTGGGTTTTGGCTGATCAATGGGCAAAACTGCATTGTTGAGGGCAAACATGCCATAAACATGCCATCATTCAACTCTGTGTTCACAGTTCTTGTATGCAAAGCAACAGCATTCACAAGGCTCCATGGTTTTCTCCATAGAAGTAATGTTACTAATGGAGTTACAATGGCCCAAACCACACTTTACAAGCTGAGCCCCCATCTGACCTTTATTTAAGCTAGGTATTTCTTGTTGGGATACATAAAAGCAGAACATTTCCTTCTCTTAACCCTTCTAAATGTATTAAGACAGCACAAAATCCCTTGCAGCATTGCTTTACCTTTCACAGTGATTGACAAGTTGTCAGTTTTTAGTAAAATGCTGCAGGAGCCACAATCAAATGCACTATTCCCACAGTAGTTCTTGTTCCAAATTACATCAGTGCAGTTGAGACACAAACAATGGGAATACTAAATGGAGCCATGTTGCTATGTTGGAGACAGGGAAGGAAAAAATAGCAAGACTTGCCAAATTAAACAAAAAACTGTGAGAGAAAGAATATTTGCTACTAGGTTGCTACGGGTACGTTAATAACAGGAGATAATATAACCCATGTAAACAATTAAAAACCTATCAGGGCAGCCCAGGAAAATCTGATAAAAGTCTATTGGAACATCTCAGTAAATGCAGATAGTTCAAACCAACCTAAGGAAAAGATTCACCTGTTTTAATAGTTTTTATTGAATGATACTTTAAATATTATACGTCTAAAAGAATCGTTGTTTTCCTATTAGCCTCTGAAGAAGGTCCTGCTATTACTTTTCTTCCACGATGCATATCCACAGACTCTGAAAGCTGACACACACCCTTTCCCTTTCAATCCCCAGACCCACAAAACAGAATCAAATGCAAAAATCCCAGATGCTCAAGGTATCTGGAAACTCATGACCTGTGAATTTAATGAGGAAGGTGTTAAACACCTTTAAAGAGTTTGAGGCTCAATCCATGCTCCATAAATCAGTCTGCCCTCTTCCCCTGTGGGATTTTATTTTGTAACATCCCACAGTGAGCTGTCTACCATAAAGAAAACCTAACCTTACTGATGGTATCCAAAGTGTTGGTACAGCCTTAGCCATAGAGTGAAACAAGCAATTCTTAAAGAACTGTAGCAAAAGGATTTCTGACTTCATAACCAAAACATCCAACAACTCAATGTTGATTATGAAGATGAATCAGGGGAGGTTTAGGACACATATCAGGAGAAGGTTCTTCACACCCACAGGGTAGTTGGGCACTGGAACAGGCTCCCCATGGAAGTGGTGACAGCACCAAGCTCAGAGCTCAAGGAGCTTTTGGACAACACTCCCAGGCACAGGGTGTCAATCTTGGGGGTTTCCTATGCAGGGCCAGGAGTTGGACTCGATGATCCTTGTGAGTCCCTCTCAACTCAGGACATTCAATGTTTCTATTAAAGTCCTTGGGAAATGGCTCAAGAGGAAAATCCCCCAGTTCCCCATCCTCTCAATCACTCACCTTCTGGGCCGGTGACTTCAGGCAAGTGGGTAAATTTCTCATTGCAATAGTTGCCCTCGCAGCAGCAGAAAAACACCTGAGGGTTTTCTTCTGTGGCCACGCACTCCTGCCTGTACCAGGGAGGGACAGACATGGAATGAAGGAGAGAGAAAAACATTGTCAGCCAACTCCTGCCTTTGGGAGCCAACCTGCCCCAAATTGTCTTCTCCACACACCTTTTCCTGCAGCTGCACTGCACAGGCCAGCAGTCTCCACTTATGGAGAACAACTTGGCATTCAAAAACCCCAGTGGATAGCAAAGACCCTTGAAAACACTGCAAAGGAAACAAATGCTTCCATATGTACTGAGGGCATTAGATGGTGAGTAATAAATAACAGCTGCTGCTGCTAACAGAATGAGAAGGAGAAAAACGACAGAGAGACGCCTCAGTCCCTGAGCAGTGACTTTCCCACAGCCCATATGAACGCTGCCAGGGCAGAGAAGTATTTGATGATGCAATTAAAGATTGTGCCATAAAGCACACACGACGAGGGCTGAGCTAAGGCTGCTCCCACAGCCTTGAGCATCACCAGCCCTGCACACTCAAAGGGCACCAGAAGCAGCAGCCACAGCCCTGCTGCAGCAGGAGAGAGCTGCAGGTCTGAGGGCATGCAGTGACAGCTCAAGGTAATGGCTTTAACTTGAAGAGGGTCTCTCTTTCAGTTCAAAGCCATTAGGGTTGGATATTGTACCTAATATCCAACCTTAAATCCTCAGGTTTAGGTTGGATATTAGGTATAAATTCTTTATTGTGAGGGTTGTGAGGCACTGGAACAGGTTGTCCAGAGAAGCTGTGGATGCCTTATTCCTGGAAATGTTACAAGGTTAAGTTGGATGGGACTTGGATCATCCTCGGGCCTGTGGAATGTATCCCTTCCCATGGCAGGGGGCTGGAACTACATGATCTTTACAAGTCCCTTCCAACCCTAACCATTTGAGGCTCCTATGATTCTCATTTCATTTCTACAGTTTTTAAGTTTAATTTTCAAGTGCTGTCTCCTCCATAAAAAGCTTATTTCTGCATAAAAACCTTTAAGAAAATCAGGTTGCAGCTCTCATTTTCTGCCTCTGCCTCTTATCCAGGTACTGCTACAGCCTTCCCAGCACTGAGATTTCCTTCCACATTGTGCAAGGCCTTAGGGGACTTCCATGGATCAAACCAACTCCACTTCCCCACATCCTCCCTCTCCCCACAGATCAATGCCAAAGGAGATGTGCAGTGATTTTTGCAGTACTTCACCTGTCATTTCTTTCTGTTTCTTCGATGCTGCTTCCCTTCCCTGCCACCTTTTGCTGTGCTATGCTCTGGTTTTAGTTATTATGCTTGCAGAGCTGCTCTCCACAGAGAACTGTATCAAACTATTTCCTGAAGCCCAGCTAAATTATATGCATAACTTCCTTCCCTCGACCACTTGGAGGAAGTAGCAAAACAATCATAAGCGTTTGACATTATTACTCATTTCTGAACCCATGCCAAGCCTCCCTTTCTGTGTTATCACTGACATACTGCCACGAGAAGAATGGAAAGGGCTCCCTTCAATCCTAGCCCTGGATAGTTTTCAGTGCTTTTCTCCCTTTGTGGGGGAAAAAAATGGCTATAGCCAAACTGTCTTCTCCAAGGTCTCAGCTGGGAAGCACTTGGTTTGTTTTTCAGGCTCTCATTTTTTCAACTTCAAAGCAAAAAAGCAGCCATTTGACTTATTCAAATGAACAAAGATGTTTCAGCAAGTTAAACAGTGTTTCCAGATGCTTTTTTTTGTGAAATCAGATAACAAGCCCTTTGGATTTAACAGCATCAGTGTTGGAGCCTTCAATAGAAAACACATCCTTTGCTAAATCTGTTGGTTAAAAAAATCAAGCTAATGAGTGAAAACAGCCTGCTCCACATCTGCAGTTCATTATCCCTGTCTCTGAGTGAAGCCATCCAGGTATGTATGACATGTTACACTTAGCAAATATTACAGCTGAGGCAGAGGGAGAGAATGACACATTTTTCTGTGGCAGGGAGGGCACGTTTCAGAGAGGTTCACGTGCTCTGCAGGGGAATGTGAGCATGACCTCTCCAGCAGGGCTGTGTAAATAAAGGAGAGCGCACAAGTCGATTTTTAAACACTACTTTTTTCCTATAACCTTAAATGTACATGTGCCACGTTCTTGTTTCCTCAAGATAAAGAACAGAGTAAGGAGCTGTCACCCTCAACGTCCCAACCCTTGCACTCCAAAATTTTTCCACATTCTGGTGACAAAGGAGGCAGCACTTGGCACATCCCAGCACGTGCTGCTCCAAAAGCAGCTGCAGCAGCCAGAACAGGACCATGCCCTGCATCCAGGGACGCAGAACACAGGTGCATCTGCCAAGGATGCTTCCAGAAACTCAGCATTCAAAGGTGCCAGAGACACAAAGGGCACCAGCACAGCACAACTGATCGAAAAAATCATCTTCTTAGCCATTTTTGCCACCTTGGGATGCAGAACTGCCTGCATGGAAGTCTGCCAAGGGCACTCAAGGGAAGAGAAAAAATGAAAAGGACTGCATTTAAAGAGGGTTTGTTCCTTTATATAATTAAAGCTAACCTTTATTCCAAATGTTGCTTTTGATATTTGTACTGTTTTTTAATTCTCAGAAGGGCTTTTAGCTTTGCCCTGGAGCTTGTGGCTTTGAAAAGTCAGGCAATGGAATACTGGCTGCTCAATTCTAGGGCTGCAAAAGGCTGGTGAGGAGCCCTGGAAACTTTTTACCATTGTAACAGAGCAACACATTATGACAGAGTTTAAGAAACACTACATCCCTGCAGAGACACTCAGTGACAATACAAGTGTCACTGGATATGAGAGCAGGCACTGAAAGGAGAAATCTGTTTACAGTAAACACTTCTGCTTGCAAGTAGGAAACTCCAGTGACCTTCTATTCTCAGAAGAATCGGCATTAAGATGACTAATGGGCCAAGGAGGATTGATTTATTGGGAAAGAATAAAAATTTAACTATATATAGAGCCTGGCTACTCAATTGGCAAGGGAATAGGTGTGGTAGGAAAGTAACTTTGGAGCTAATAATAGAACAAAGATGAGGAACAACTTACAGCTGAGATAAGCCAAGACAGCAGGCACAGAAGCAGGGGAAGTGTACAGCACCAAAGGGAGAAAACACTGCAGCCATGGCACAAATCTAGCTCCAGCCTAACCCCACAGCTTAGCAGCTGATCTTCCTAAAACTTTCAGAACGAGACACTAGAAAGAGGCACGACTGAGAATTGCACAAAGGTGAGATCGACCCACATCAGTGTTATACCAAGGGAAATCCTTGAATTTTATGTAGCTAATCCTTATTGAAAAGGCTGGGCTTGGCTTGGTTGTTTGGTCATTGGTTTGGGGTTTTTTTAACAAAAACCCTGAGCTCACAGCTACTCAACATTGTCCTTTTCAACCACAAAACTTCATAGGGCTGTTTTCTTTAGCTGTAATTCTTTTCCCCTTTGTAGAATTGCATCAAGGGAAGTGAGAAAAGACTAGTTAATTTTCCCAGCTATTTAATGAGGCCGGAGCCTTCACACTACAAAACCTCACTCCTTTTCAGCTTGCAACAAGCAGTGACACACAAACTCACATTGCTTTTGCTCCCCACTCTTTCTCCTGGCCCTCCTCTTCACTCAGCCAAAGAACAGTGGAACTTTTTGCAACATCACAAACGTCAGAATATCTCAACCCCTAACCACCCCCAGATATCTGTGCTTTTCTAGACAGCTCCAAATGATTCCAAGTTTTCACTTCTATCACCAAATGCTCCTGGAAGAACATATTGCTCTTCATTTGATGGTACAGGACAGGTTTTTCAAAGAATGCCAGAATTATCAAAGCTTTGCTAGGGGAAAAAACAAACAAAACAAAACACAACACAAAACCCCCGAAAAAAGTGATTTCTGCAGCTTCTATTTAGAAAGTCAAAGCAGATAAGTGACAATTCCGAGAGCTGCTTTTGCCAATTAACTTGGGCTTGCCTTCTTTCCCTCTATGCAAAATATCACAAGCTTTAACACTTAGAGGGTCGATTAAACCTGTGTTTGGATAAACCAGCTGGGTAATTACCTGTCATAGCAGTTGAAGTCATCCAGCCAGCAGCCTTTCTTCACCAGCTCGATGGAGCCTGAGTTGTTTCTCCAGGAGGCGTAGCAGTGCAGCCGCTTGTCCTTCTCCCCCTCGCAGCGCTCCACGCCGCTCTGGTTGGTCTTCTCCAGCTCCCAGTTGGCATTGTAGTAGATGCACTCCCTTGTCTCTGCCTCCCCGTGGCCTGGCCCTGAAAAATCAAGCCCCAAGAACATCCAGGTAAAGTCAGAAATAGGGAATTGTATGGCTCTGTTTTAGGTGATGCATGCATTTGATTCCCTAGGAGCTTCAGCACAGTGTGGAGATTACTCTTCTCCTCTAGGGTGAGGTGGGAGATGGAGAGGTCAGGTTTGCCTAAGCTCATGGCAAAGTCAGGATCCAAGCTGAGACCTTCCCAGATCTCCTCTGGACAATGCTTCAACCCTAGGACCCTAAAACAAGGGATGCCCAAGGCAATGCATGCCCAGGAATGTTTAACCACAGAAACCTTGTTTAGCAAAGACAACGTGCCAGGGTGCTACTTGATGCTGCTGGGATGTCATGCAGTGGAGTTACTATCTCTCTGCACCATTACTTTGGGAAACACCACCTAAAAATGAACAGTTTCTTCCATGGATGTAACTGAGAACAGATAATATTCATCCTGCAGACAGGGCCAGACCAGTGGCCATTCCTCACTTAGATCCTGGTTCAGGCTGACTTGGGTAAGACCCCATATGATAAATGCCATGGTTTTAGCTGCATTTTACACAGCTCATGTTGCCTCTCCACCCAAGCAAGACCTTCAGCCACAGAAAATTCTGTTCCCCAAACAACACTGGCCACCCCAAATGCATCCTTGGCCACCACAAACAAAGGAGTCTCCATAGCCTGAGGGTCTTCTCTCCTTTGGAGCCTTGTACCAAAGGACTGTGGAACTCCTACTGCCCCCAAGGAAACAATTCCCCCATAGCCACTGTGTGGAAGAACTGAAATAGAACTGCAGACACATCCATTAAAACCAGAGTCAAATAAAGGAACACTGATATTTGCAGGTGACCTGTTCTGTCCTAAACCTTAGAAATCCTCTCTTCATCCAGAAATATTCTGCTTTGTGGCATTTTGAGGATTAGTTTAAAAGAAAATGAAGAATGAAACAAACACACGTCTTGTAAGCAGACAAACACAAAAGACACCATGAGCCCTGTACCATGATGATTCTGTAAATCCTGAAATGTCCTGCAGCCATCTCTCCTTGGGATTACCCAACCTAAGGTAAGGTCAGGCCTGGCCATTATTTTGATGGATTGCAATCATGGAAAATGTAGGTGTCTCAATAAAATGTGCTGACAGCTGGGTAGAAAACACAAATAGGTCCCGCAGGATGGTGAAACAAAAGTGCTGTGCTCCCAAAATAGCCAGACCTCTGTGAAGCCTAGAACTAAATTTCTAGCTAAAAAACCACAGTTCTGAATAAACTAGGGGTGGTGGGTCTAACCTGCTCCCAATCCCAACGCCTGGACTCAGCACTGGGTAATTTTCATGGCACAGAGCAAACTCATCACACCAGGAAGATCTCTTTGCAAGCTGCTGAGGTGTTCAATCCTTCAATAACACTTTTTAGGAAGACTGCTTGATCTGCATCGTGGGAGAGACTGCAAGGGAATAAGGGTATGAGAATGTCATAAAGCTGACTCCTGAAACTGGAAATTATATTCAAAGCACACACGAACAAGAGCTCAATTTCAATAGCACCTGTAGGTTTTATCAGCTCTTGCAAAGCTCCATCAGAGTTTTCCTCTGACAAGTTGCTTACAATAATGAAAACAACCTACCAATATCCCTCAACACAGAACAATGTCAATATTGACACTCCTTGTTAAAGCCTTGATATTTGTTCTCTTGATACTTACACCGTGCTTCTTTAGGGCAGATTAAGCATTTTTGCTAAATACTGGTTAAATCAGCGGGAAAACCAAAGAGCTTTCTCTTGTGTGTGGGGGTGGAGGGCAAAATTTTTTTGCTTTTAAAGAAAATAATAAATATCTTAACTGCATAGAATCATAGGATGGTTTGGGTTGGAAAGGATTTTTAAAGGTCATCTAGTCCGATGTCCCTGCAATGAGCAGGGACATCTTCAACTAGAACAGGTTGCTCAAAGCCCCATCCAAACTTGAATACTTCTAGAACCACCACCTCTGTGGACAACCTGGGCTAGAGTTTCACCACCCTCATTGTAATAAGTCATATGGCTTCTAGCTGGTACATGACACCTAATCCTCACTTATCATCTTCTGCTCCACTCCTGGAAATACACTTTGTAATATCATTTTTATCATCCCAAACTGAATATCGCTTTTGATCAAGACAGAAATTTCCTCTCCCTCCCCAACTCCGTCTCCCAGCAATCTGGAAGGTTTAATGAACAATTCCACTGGAAAGCAGCCCCAAAATCTAATCCTAGCTCAGCCACCATCATCTGCAACCTCAGGCAATATTGTGTAGCCTCTGTTTTCCCCACCATAAACGAAAGCCAATGTGATGCACAGAGCCGCAGTGAGATTTGATATTTCCACTGTGCTTTGGAAAGGGAATGTGGAAAAGATGTGAAGCAGGAGCTGTATCAGCTCTGGGACCAGCAAACCAAGGCTGCTAAATCCTGTGTTGAGCCCAGGCTCCCTTCCCCCAAGACAGTTGTCTTTTCTGGAACAAGTTTCAGCTGAAGAGTAAGAGCTGCTTGCAAACACGCAAACCCAACTCTGCAAACAGCGACCGCGCCAGGAAAAAGGCCTTTCCCAGTTTTCCCCCCGCTGTTAAAGTTTAGATGATTTGAATAAAAGCATGCATAAAGTTTGAGATGACTAAATAGATGTATGCTTTCTTTATAACAGCTCCTAAGGATGCTTGCATTAAGGAGACACTTTAAAAACCTGTGTGTTTGTTACCTGCTCTCAGATCTCTTTAAAAGCCATTTGGTAGGATCCTCGCCCCGCTGGGTGCTCACGACTGCAAGAAACCCTTCTGTTTGTACCCAAGATGGTCTCAGCAGGAAGGGGCACGGCTCCAGGTCTGGGTATTAATTTACCTGCTGCTTTAGCTCATCAAGAAACACTCACACCTTGCTCTGTAATGGATCACGCAGAGACCAAAGTTTGCAGCTAACTGCCTGCTCTGCACTCGCTGCGGTAAAACCCTCGCTCAACAGAGGGAGGGGGAGTCAAAACAGGGGCTTGTCCCTTTGAGAGAGAAAGGTGTTGACTAAGACAAGGAAATCTGAGCTTTGCTCATCCATCCCCAGCTGTGTAAATTTTTCTGCCTCCTCTTCCCCCACTGAGCAATGGATAGACCCAAGGCTACCGTAGGTCTGTAAAAAACACTGAGCTGGACATTAGGTAATGGTTTTAAATGAAAAAAATATATAGATTTGACATAAGGATGAAATATTTTTCTCAATGAGGGTGATAAAACACTGGAACAGGCTGCCCAGGGAGGTGGTAGATGCTTCGTCTCTGGAAACATTCATGGTCAGGTTGGACAGAGCTCTGAGCAACCTGGTGTTGTTGAAGATGTCTCAGCTGCAGGGGAGACGGACTAGATGCTCTTTAAAGGTTCCTCCCAGACCAAATCATATTCTATGATTCTACCAAGTGACAAAGGCATGGATAACCATGCCCTGCTTCTCATTTTAAGTTGCAAGAAGAATCAGAGGGTGTTCCCCCAAGATATGTGCAGGAAGCACTTGTCTCCCTCCACTGGACACAGCTGATGCATCAGCACAACAAAGATTTGACTGGGCTGCCCTCTGCCCCCAGCAGTACAACCTGGCTCAAGAGAAGTCTTGTACCAAACCTGAGCATCTGACAGGAGTGACACCATTTATTTTGGCCAAAAGGGCCTTTCCTGAAACAAAAGTCTTTCAGTGCAGTCATAAACCACAGCTTGAGACAGATTAAAGGGGTTGTGTCCCCACTATCCTGCTCTACCCCTCCTTACTCTTCATCTCTCTCATAGCAGCCTTGGTACATAGGAAAGCTCTTGAGTGCCTTCATTTGGTGGCACTGCCTGGTAACATCCTCCTCATGTGGGATGGCAAATAAACACCCCAGAGAACTGCTCAACTTTTGGCAGCGAATCAATGGGACTTGGGTGCAACGAGATATGAAACCTTTGCTAAGCAAGTGTTTGAAGATCGCTGTTGGAACCTGATCTCATTCATTGGGCCCTCATTCCTCTCCTGCCTAAGCCTCTTCCACCAGCCACATTGCAAAATTTGGGGGAAAAAAGTTGCAAAGCAGAAGCATGTATGTGGGGCAGGGGCATGGAAATGGGGCAGGGGCATGGACATGGGGCAGGAGCACAGCATCCCCAGCACTGCATCCCACTCTCAGCCCCAGCTCTCTCCATGGAAAAGAGCCTCGTGCCAGCAGCCAGGCAAAAACAATCAACTTTTTAATATCACCATCCACAAATAGTCATTTAAGCAATAAAGCCTGAAGTCCTGTTTGAAATCAAAGTCTAAGGAAGAATCAGGCTTTGCAGGAGCAGATGGGTTTCTGGCATCCCACTGCATCCACCCAGCGCTTCGGGGATGACGCAGCGCGGCTCGTCCCCGAACAAAAGCTGCACAGAAATACCTTTACACAAAATACCAAGCCCAAATAACTCCCATACATCACACAGGCAGAGGGAGGCTACCCACCATCACCCACTTTTGGGGTGGAAATCAACTTTTTGACCTCAGTCCTGAGGAGCTGTCATTATGCTGATTCCCCTGGGTCAATTTGCTGCTCCAAATGACTGCAGCATCACTGGGTTTCTGCCAAGCAAGACCCCCAACACCCATCTGAGGCACATAATGATGGGAAGAGCAGCTGAAGCACCATGCGACATGGAAAGACCTCTCGCCTCTACTTGGGAGTTACAAGGCACAGAGGGAGCTCATTAAAAAAGATCCTCGTGAACTGAAGGACTTCAGCCTGCTGAGACATGGGACCTCGCTGCTGATCTGAGACTAAACCCTGCTGTCCTAATTTGGAGTCGCTGACAGATCACTGAGGCTGTATCATTATCCAACAGCTTCTAAATTATAGCCAAGATCCAGTGTAGCAACTTCCAGGTCTAGGTGTTAGCAGTTGCCAGGCTCCTTACTCATAATTAGATACATAGGGAGTATCTTCCCCAAGGCTGAAGGCTGCTATAAATCTCAGCTCT